TAGAGACTTATGCCATCCCTGACCCACTCCCAGTTTGATAGTATACAATGGGCCACGCCTCATGACCCCAGCGCAGCTCTTTCTGCCCATGGGTCCTGTCCCCATGCTTTAATAAAACCACCTTTTTGCTGGGGGAGTGGGAGGGAAGGGATAGGGTGGCTGGGTTATGGACATTGGGAGGGAAGTGCTATGGTGACTGCTGTGAATTGTGCAAGACTGATGATTAACAGTACCCATGAAGCAAATAATACATTATATGTTTTTAAAAAAAAAAAAAACACCTTTTTGCACCAAAGACATCTTAAGAATTATTTTCTAGCTGTGGGCTTTGAGCCCTATCTTTCCTACATCAGTTGGGGCCACAGTCTGCGGTGAAATGGTCAGCAATGCCAGCCCAAGAGTTGCAAGGGCTGTCACAGCCAGGACCAAGGAAGAGGTACTGCTCAAGGGGGCATGCTTGCTCGGGCTCCTGAAGGCCTACCTGGAGATGATAGGCATGGACTTAAGGGAGGGCAGCCAGTGCTGGGGCGTTAGAGGTGCAGACATGCTCAGTGCATCTATCCTTGCAGAAATGGGGTTTATTTATAAATAAAATCTTTTTAAAAATTGTGCAGGGGGGGGGCAGAGGGCAAGGGAGAAGCGGACTCCCCGTGACCTGAGCCAAAGTCAGACACTTAACCAACTGAGCCACCCAGGTTTCCCTACATTTTGATAATTTTTTTTTTAAGATTTTATTTATTTAACAGGGAGACACCAAGAGAGGGAACACAAGCAGGGGGGGTGGGAGAGGGAGAAGCTGGCTTCCCATTGAGCTGGGAGCCTGATGCGGGGCTCAATCCCAGGACCCCAGGATCATGACCTGAGTCTAAGGCAGACGCTTAACGACTGAGCCCCCCAGCAATAAAACATTGTGAAATTAAAGTGTGAATGTTCCATTTATAGATATAATGATATTGCACACTTAAGAGACTGCTGCATAAACATAACTTGTTTTTTTATTATTTTTTTGAGAAAGTTTTTGTGTGCAGGGGGTGGGGGGCAATACAGGGAGAGTCTCTAGCCCACTCCATACAGAGGGGGCTAAATCCCACCACCCTAGGCTCATGATCTAAGCCAAAGCCGAGAGCTGGCTGCTCACCAACTGCGCCAAGCTCCTCAGAGCACGAGAGCAGATTGAGGAGCACAGGGAGGAAAGGGAGATAATCTGCAGCAGACTGTGTTGAGGGAAGAGCCCGACCTGGGGCTCAAACACAGGACCCTGGCGGCTGGGTGGCTCAGTGGGTTAAAACCTCTGCCTTCTGCTCAGGTCATGGTCTCAGGGTCCTGGGAACGAGCCCCGCATCGGACTCTCTGCTCAGCGGGGAGCCTGCTTCCTCCTCTCTCTGCCTGCTTCTCTGCCTGCTTGTGATCTATCTGTCAAATAAATAAATAAATCTTCAAACAAACAAACAAAAAACCCAGGACCCTGAGATCGTGACCCTCATGAGCCAAAATCAAGCATCAGGCACTTAATTGACCAGGCCACCCAGGCGCCTCCCTAAACATCACTTTTATATGCACTAAGCAACCAAAAATTCATTCACTTTATTGCAGTGGTCTGGAACCAAACTTGCAAGTTTGGTTCAGCCCTTCGCCTGGACCTCCCGACTCCGGCAGCGCGCTCGCCCCTCGGACCTGAGGGCTCCGGCGGGATCCGCTCCAAAACAGCGCCTCACCCTTCCGGGAGCCCGGGCCATCGCCTGCCAGCGGCCTCGGGAGCCAGAGGGCGTCTACCGAGGCGCGCGGTCCTCCGAGCCTCCTAGAGCAGCCCCGGGGGGGCCGTTCCCGGGGGCGGGCCGGAAGCGGACTGCTCGCACCCGGGCGCCGCTCCTCGAGCGGTCGCGGATGGCCGCCCAGGGTGAGCGGACCCTGGCTGCGGGGCGGGGATCCGAGCGGAGTGAGGGCCGTTCTCCGATTCCGGCCTGCCTGAGGCTGTGGTCCGCACAGAGGCCGCGCTGAGCACCACGGTGGGTGCCGACCCGCAGCCGGCGCCGCTCCTCGCTTTTCCTTTGGTTCTGGGCCTTAGGGAGCGCCCGGGTTCCCGTTGGCCCCACCGACTGCGGCGGGAGGCGAGCGGACCGGGGGCTGAGTCCTGCGTCCCCAGAGCCTGGGTGGCCACGCAGAGCTGAGGCTGCGGGGGTGGGAGGCCTGGGAGACCAGTTCTGTCCGGGCTTCGGTCCCCTCGTCCTCCCGCCTGCAGGTGCCAGGGCGCATCCGCGGGCGCCGACTGGCCACCCCCGTGCGCGGCCTCTCGCCGGGACTGCGTCGCTGGTCCGACCGCGGCGCGGAGTCCTTCCCGTGTCCCGAGGAACCTGCTCGTGCCGGGGATACCGCCGTGAAGCCAGACGACGTCCCTGGCCTCGGGGAGCATATCCTGTAGTGGGGGTGAGGCGTTCGTGTCGCAGAGGCAACGAACAAGTAAGAAAGTAGTTGTTGATCCGCGCAAGGGCCTGAAGAAAATGAGCCCCGAGCACCGGCTGGTGGGAGACGAGGTTTCTTCCAGAAGTAAACCTGCTGGCTGAGCGGCCGCGCTGATCCCTTGCGGGCGAGGGAGAGCGCGCGGGAACGGCTTGGGCTGCTTCGAGTAACAGTGGACACCAGTCCGGCCGCAGTGTAGTCAGCGGGGGTGGGTGAGGCAGCGGCGCAAGGTGCCGCAGGCCCCCGGGGAACGGAGGTTTTCTTCTAAATCCGAGGAAAGAATGACTTCTGCTGGTCCTCCAGGCCCCAGTAAGCGCAGCCCCCCCCCCCCGCCGGAAGCCCTCCCTGCTCCCCCGTCGAAGTCAGCATCCCCTCCCCTGGATACTCTCCCCCCGGATTCTGAGCAGGAGCCCGGGCTATCTCGTTACCGTTATTTCCCCTGCTCCACTTTTTTCAACTCAGCCCTGTTTTTCTCTGATTGAAGACTTACTCCCTTGTTCACAGGAAGGACTGAACTTAGGTCTTTTCTCTCTCTAAGCAGAGGGCCCCTCCCTGTGGACGTGCATTCCCCAGATACAGGCAAGCAAAGACCAGCACAGTAACGTCCCCTCCTAACTGTGGAGAACGGTGTGCGCAGAGCTGAGCGCCAGGTCTTCCCATGAGCTGCTCATCCTCTTGAGATGTTCTGGTTGCCTCACTGGGGTGAGGAGGACGGCAGATCAGTCAGCAGTGGCAGCGGCAGTGGTCCAGGCAGGTCCTGCCCACAGACTGCCCTGAACAGGCAGCCCAGAGGGTAGTGGTGTGGTTCTGCTCTTTGCATTTGCGGGTCATGCTGTCCAGACACAGAGGACCTGCCACACCTCTCGGATCATTGTGTGTAGCCTGTTACACGGTCACATGTTTAAAGAGCTCTCCTGCCAACTGTCACCTCACGGCATCATAACTACAGGATTTCTGTTAACTCGTGCCTGAAAGAGACATCACTTTACAAAGTGGCAGCTACTCCAGAGGCTCAAGCCCCACAGAAAAGTGTACCCCAAGACCTCCACCTAACCAGGAGAGCTCAGGTATCCATTGAGAAAGGGACATGAAGATCAGGGCCTACTCTGGAGGCGGAATTGTATTTATTGGTTTTTAAATAACTGTTCTCCATCTGCAACATGCATTTGTAAATGAGCAGTAAGTTTTGGAGAAATCAGAAAAATGGAAAGAAGGAAAATAAGAATCACCCAGAAAGAAACTAAGCTTAATGTGCTGGGGTGTTGTGCTGCCAGATTTGTTTTTCTGCTTACCGTCTGCTTGTTTCACACAGTAGTGCGGCTGGAACAGTTTTCTGATGCTCCACCACGTGGCCTCGCTGGTTGCAGAGTCACCCACTGTCATGGGGACACTCCTTCATTCCACAGACCCTCGCTGAACACCTGGTTTGTGTCAGGCCCTCCTCCAGGCTCGGGGGTTCAGACTGCAGGCCTTCGCTCATGGGGGAAGGCAGAGAAGAGCAAGTAAGTTGACTGCATTGTGTCAACACAGGTGCTGTAAAGAAAAGGAAAACAAGAAAAAATAAGTAAAACAGGGAGTGAGGGTAGGGAACGAATTCTGCGGAGGGGGTGGCATTTTATATAGGCTGGTCCAGGAAGACGTCGCTGGAAAAATCAGGAGTGAGGGGTGGGTGAGTAGGTCTCAGGGTGGGGCTTCTCGGGATACGAGGGTGTCATCTGGGCTGACCAGGTGTTTGCCCTTTCCTGTCTCTTCTGCATCTGGGTGGTCCTTCTGGGGACAGGGACAGGGGTGGATGGGACTCAGGCCTGCCTCCTTCCACTTAACACTCACTGTCCCCAGCACCTGCTCTTCCCCTGACGGGGATCCTGGAATGGCGGTGTGACTTGTGACGCCCACACTCCAGGTGAGTGCCCCTTCTGAGCCTTTTGGCTGCCTTCATCCCCAGCCCTCAGCTTTTCAGCCCTGAGCACCTTCCCAGGGGCCCCAGGCCCATTCACGTAGCTCTCATTCCTGCAGGTGAGTCACGGGAGGGATGCTGTAAGGCAGGGTCTGCCCCCTCCCTGTGAAACTGCACAGTGCTCTGTCACATCCTTCCTGAGGCTTTGGGCAGAAGTGGGTTGCCCAGGATCTCCTGTAGCCCTTGCACTTCCAGGGTCAGCCAGGAAGGTCAGGGTCTCTGTCCCCCGCCCCAGCACCCGCCTCCGTCCTGGTGTGAGTGCTCAGCTCTTCTTTGTGCACACAGCCTTTGGCTTCTCTCCTCAGATCAGAGAAGCAGAGAATAGGAAGGGAGCACCAATATAGAGGCTTGACCACCAACATCTCCAGGGTGCCCCTCCCCAGATTCCTGTTAGCCTGTTGGGGGGCATGAGGCCAAGGTTGAGACCCACACCCTGGCTTTATGGCAGTAGGACCGTTCCACTTTCCCTGGGGAGTGTTGAGGTGTCCTCTCTGTGCCAGGCCTTGGGGATGCAGCAGGGACCACAGAGACAGAGGCCTTGACTCCCAGAGCTGAACAGGTGCCCAAATATCCCTGACCTGGTCTCTGCATCCCCTGCCCAGACATCCCCAGACAGCAGGGTTTGTGGTTGCAGGAGGCCGTTGTGTTTGAGGACGTGGCCGTGTACTTCACAAGGATAGAGTGGAGTTGCCTCGCCCCCGACCAACGGGCGCTATGCAGGGATGTGATGCTGGAGAACTACGGACACGTGGCCTCGCTGGATGAGGCTTCCCCATCCATCCCGGGGCGGGGCTCGGGCAACCCTGCCTCTTCCACTGGTCTTAGGAGAGTTGATTCTTTTCCAAATTCAAGGTCCAGCATGTTTAGGGAAGCTGGAGGGCTGCCTCCATCTCTCTGTGGCCACCCAACTGCCCCGCTTCTGGGAAACTAGGTGATCCCAATCCATCCCAAGTGCCATGTGTCCCCTAAGGCCTCCAGCCCTGCAGCAGGGCATCCTTCCTTCCCTCTGCTCCCTGACACCTATTGCTCTCCTCTGCATGTAGGCTTTCTTGTTGCTAAACCAGCACTGATCTCCCTCTTGGAGCAAGGGGAGGAGCCAGGGGCTTTAATTCTGCAGGTGACTCAGGAGCAGGTGTCTGCAGCCAGCATGTGCCCAGGTAAGTGGGCCTGGCATTCACACAACTCTCCATAGCCTCCTAGGTGCTTGGGCAGTGCGAGGGCTGTACATTTAGGTCCTCACAGCAGGGCCAGAGTTCCTACCAAACGCCTTGGTTGTCATCCAGGGTCACCCAGGACTAACCCACACAAGGAACCCAGGTGCATGAAATGCCCTTCCCAGTTGTCTGAGGTGCCGGGCCAGGTCTGTGGGGGCAGCGAGTGTGTGAGGAGGACCCAGCAGGGAAGACCCTTGGGCTACTTTGGTTCTCTGAGCCAGGGCCTGGGGTTGGGACTGCAGAGGCTGCAGAAAGGGGGAAAAGGCCGTCCATGGGCCCTGCTTGGGGCTGATGTGTCTGCTGAGTGGGTAAGCTGTGGGTGAGTCCTCAGAGCAAGAGGGGAGCAAAGGATAGCAGCAGCCCACACCCAGTAGGCCTCCCTCCTGCCTCAAGCTCGCTCCCGCCCCCCACAGTCCTTTAGACCAAGCCTGTGTCTTCCCTTCTCCCCTTTCGGGAGCTCTTCTCCTAAGCCAACTTCCCGCAGTGCTTAAGCCCTTATTAACCTTCCTTTAGGTCCTCTTTCTTACACAAACCCCAATTTTACAGATTCTTGGAAGAAGTTCCCAAGCCTCCCTATTTCTTTGACATAAAGGTTCTGTCTTCAAATCACGGAGTTTCTTCTATGAATTACAGAAGCCAGGTTATTTTTCCATTCTCTGTTCATTCTTCCAGATTCTAGGATGGAGGCTGTGGTCAAGGGATCTTCTCTAAGGACAGTGTCTTCTAAGCAGTTAGGGTTATTGGGCACAGTTTGGGGGCACCTCCCTAAGGGGAGGCCGAAGCATCCCCAGCGGAGTGGCAGTCCTGAGGGTGGGTCAGAGAGACGACCCCTCGATCCTGAGGCAGGCGGCCCCAGCGGGGACCTTCGACCATCTCCCATAGCCCCGGTGGAGGGAGGGTGGGTCCCCGGCCGGTGGCTGCTGCAGGGGAGAGGGCATATGGCTGTGTCTGCGGCAAGGCCTTCAAGTTCAAGTCGCTGCTGCTCCGGCGCCAGGTCATCCACACCGGGGCTAAGCCCCACCAGTGCACCAAGTGCGGCAAGGCCTTCAAGCAGAGCTCCATCCTTCTGCGACACCAGCTGATCCACGCGGAGGAGAAGCCCTTCCAGTGCAGCGAGTGCGGCAAGGCCTTCCGGCAGAGCGCGCAACTCGCGGCCCACCGCAGGGTCCACGTGCGGGGCCAGCCTTACGAGTGCGGCGAGCGCGGGAAGGCCTTCGGCCCCAGCGCGCGGCTCCAGCAGCAGCAGAAGTTCCACACCAGGGAAAAGCCATACGAGTGCGGGAGGGCCTTCTGCCGCAGGTTCGCGCTCACGGAGCACGGCCGCCTGCACAGCGGGGAGAGGCCTTACCCATGCTTGCAGTGCTGCCAGCGCTTCGTGCGGGGGTCCTCGCTGCTCAAGCACCACCGCCTGCACGCGCGGGAGGGCCCCCGTGAAGACCGCGGCCGCCCAAGCCCCCTGCTCTGGTGCCACGCAGAAGCCGGCCACGGGCGCCGGGCTCCACCTGTGCGCCGTGTGCTGCAGGTCCTTCCGGCACAGTCCCCGCTGCTGCTGCACCGGCGGCTGCACACGGGCGAGAAGCCGTTCGAGTGTGGGACTGCGGCAAGGCCTTCAGCCAGAAGTCCAGCCTGACGCCGCACCAGAAGACACAGCCGGGAGAGGCCGTTCACCTGCGGCGAGTGCGCCAAGGCCTTCTGCAGGAGCTACGTGCTGAGCGAGCACTACCGGCTGCACAGCGAAGACAGGCCGTGCAGGGGCCGGGCCTGTGGCTGGCGATGCGCCCTCGTCCCGCGCCCCGAAGTCCGTGGCCCAGACTGCGCCCCGGCCGGCGCTGAGGCCAGACGGGCTCCCCGCTGGGCTTCCCAGGCAGTTGGTAAAGTTGGAGAACCCCGGGCGCCCGGGGGCCTCTGCTGGTTGAGGGTCGGACTCTCGAGGTCCGCTCTGGTCAGGATCTCAGGGTCGTAAGATCGAGCCCGGCGTCAGACACCGCGCTGGGCGGGGAGTCTGCCGGAGACCCTCTCCCTCCCCCCTCTCCGAGCAACAACGAACAGGGCAGAGAGCCCGCCTGGGGGAGGCGCCGAGGCAGGAAGCTGGCAAGCCTGCCATTCACCTGTGCAGCAGGACATCGGTGTCCGGGGGAGAAGGGACCGGCGGGGCAGTGGTCCAGCAGCCTGCAGGCTGAGCCGGAGCAGGGGCTCCCCACCACCGCGGGCCTGGGTGCCTGCAGGAGAGCCGCGTTTCTCAGCCCTCCAAGCCTGTGCCCGGATGGACACTTGGGCTTCAGTAAGTCCCATGGGGATCGTGAGTGGGTTTTGTTTTCTTCCTTCACTCATCTGTTTTCCAAATACCTGTGATCAGGAAAAGAAAAAAAAAAGATGTTGGCTATTTTTGGTGGTTCATTTGTTACTAGGACTGAGGTAGATCACACTCTGTTTGCGGGGCCCCAGCCACCTAGTCCAGGTGGGGTGCAGGGCTAGAGTCCACACAGCATCTGGCCTGGGGATATTTGGGGTTCTGAGGAGGACCGAGGGTTTGTCAGCAAGCCAGGGCAAGGCTGGAGGTTAGTGGTGACTGAAGCCAGGACCCACGAACGGGTCTGTAAGGCTCCTGGGCCGGGTCTCAGGAGCCCCAGCCAGGCTGAGTGGGATCTGCTGTCAGCAGAAGGCACTGGCTGGGGAGGAGCCTCCTGGGGGTTCTAAGTGACCCCTCTTCTCCATCAGTCCTCACATGCCAGAAACCCTGAGAATGCTGGCAGGCACCACCAGTGCCAAGCAGAGCTGAAGACCTGACCAGTGAATGTGTATTTTTTTTTTAACATTTTATTTATTTGACCAAGAAAGAGAGATCACAAGTAGGCAGAGAGGCAAGCAGAGAGAGAGGAGGAAGCAGGCTCCCCACTGAGCAGAGAGCCCGATGCGGGGCTTGATCCCAGGACCCTGGGATCATGACCTGAGCCAAAGGCAGAGGCAGGTGCCCCTGAATGTGTTGTTGTTTTTTTTTATTAAAGATTTTATGTATTTATTTGACAGAGATCACAAGTAGGCAGAGAGGCAGGCAGAGAGAGAGGAAGCGAAGCAGGCTCCCCACTGAGCAGAGGGCTGGATGTGGGGCTTGATCCCAGGACCCTAGGATCATGACCTGAGCCGAAGGCAGAGGCTTTAACCCACTGAGCCACCTAAGTATAAATTTTTTTGTAGGGCATTTGTGAAATGCAAAAACTTATAAAAAATGTAGAGGGGTGCTTGGGTGGCTCAGTCGGTTAAGTGTCTGCCTTCGGCTCAGGTGTTGGGGGGTCAGATCTTGGGGTCCTGGGATTGAGCCTCACATCGGGCTCCCTGGTCAGCGTGCAGTCTGCTTCTGTCTCCCTTTGCCTACTGCTCCCAGTACTTGTGCGTGTGCTCACTCTCTCTCTCTCTCACAAATAGACAAAATCTTAAAAAAAAAAAAAAAAATATATATATATATGTACACATATATATGTATATACATATATGTGTGTGTGTGTGTGTGTGTGTGTATATATATATATATATATATATATATGGGTGCCTGGGTGGCTTAGTCTGTTAAAGCATCTGATTCTTGATTTCAGCTCAGGTCGTAATCTTGGCATTGTGGGATCGAACCCCAAGTCTGGCTCCCACTCAATGTGGATTCAGCTTCTCTGTCTCTCTCTGCTCCTCTCTCCACTCATATGCTCTCTTTCTCTCTTTCTAAAATAAATAAAATCTTTAAAAAAAAAAAAAAAGAAATGTAAAAAACTTCCCAGAGACCATCACGGGGTGTTTGATGTGTTTTCTTAGCCTTTTTTTTTTTTTAGGATTTTAAAAAGAGAGCAGGGGGAGGGGCAGAGGCCAAGGGAGAGAATCTCAAGCAGACTCCCTGCTGAGCAGGGATCGAGGTGGGGCTCAAACCCAGGGCTCCAGGGTCATGACCCGAGCCACCTAGCAGCTCCCCTTACCCTCTTTTTAGTGCACAGTGTGAATATTTATTTGACAAATTGGGGTGTAGTGTGCTTGGAGCTGTGTGCCTGCCGCTTGTTGCTGCCTGAGCACCAGCCGTCCTGGGCGGTTTAGGGAGCAGCCGCCATTGTCGCACATCTGCCTCCCCGAATTTGCACTGTTGCTGCTGACCGAACAGCAGGTGTGTGCTTTTGTCCACTGACAAAAGCTGGGGCTGAGGTGGACGTTCCCTATCGGGGATACTGGGAGTGGGGGGGACTGTTTTTAATCGTTTGATTAATCACTCTTGTTTTCATTTAGATTTCTTGGCCTTTTATTGAGTAAATTCCCTATAAGTTCTTATACCTGTTTTTATTGGGTTTGTAAGCCTCTGTGTTGAGCCCCAATCCTTTTCCTTACTATCTGTTTTTTTCCATTGTAATAGGAACCACAGGGTTTTTTGGTGGTGGGTGAGCATGGGAGAGATGAGAGGGAAACTGCTTCTTAGAATTGAGAAAGTGAAATACCAATATTTTTTCCAGTTCTTTATTTCTCTTTAGTTATGCGGTTTTTGATATGAAAAATACATGTCCCCTATGGCCAAAACCATCTGTCCTGTTGTAATTAGAAAGGCCTTCTCCACTCCAAGATTTTATAAAACACTTTTTTAGGGGCACCTGAGTGCCTCAGTGGGCTGAATGTCCAGCTCTTGATTTTGGCTCAGGTCGTGATCTCAGGACGGTGAGATGGAGCCCCGAGTCAGGCTCTGCACCCGGGCTTGGCATGCTCTCTGTCCCTCCGCCCCTCCCCCACTCAGCGCTCTCAAAAGACAGAAAACCTTTAAGACACTGTTTGCTATGGTTAAATCACTGAAATAATACATATTTGTAGTAGAACAAAATCTCAATACAAAAATAGGAAATCAAGCCCCTCTCTTCCCTTATCCACGTTCCCATCTTACCCCCAGATTTACACCAGTTAAGTTCGGGTAGTTCATTGCAGATCCTTTTCTCTGCAGCTCAAGTGTTCAGTGTGTGTTCGTGTTTTTACAAACAGGGTTATCCTACTAGTGTGCTTTTGATGTGTCCACTTGCTGGGCTGAGTTGCTCCCAGAAGGACTTTCCAGGTAGATTCCTGACGGTGGGCTATGAGGAAAGAAGGAAGTGGTGGCCAACCGTAGCTCACACACCTACCTAATGCTTAGATGCTAACCCCAACGCTGCTGTGAAATGATTTTGCAGATGCGGTTAAAGCAGCTAATCAAGTGACTTTAAATTAATCAAACGAAGGTATCCTGGTGGGCCTGACATAATCAGTCATAAGGCCTTCAAAAGCTTAGGCTTCCCCGAGTCTCCAGCCTGTGGAAAAGCATCAGTTGGTGATCTTATCCTCCTGAGTCTATGCTCTGAGGACTTGGCGCTTGCTTCACAGCCTCCACGACTGCTGGCCACTTCTCTTCTACTGATTCTGTTTCTTGGATGGACCCTGACCGATCCACTGTTTTCTGCAACTTGGCTTTTCCACAAGTACCTGGCAGCATCGTTTTGTGCAGAACGACTTCATTCCCTGTGCAGTGATGAGCCACTGGTGGCCAGTCGTGGCCTGTAAGTAGGTACCGCACTGCTGTCCATCCCATACACACACAACACTGTGACAAGAGCCCTTCCATAAAACCTGGCTGTCAGCGTTTCCCACGAGCTTGAGCGCGGGCTCCCCAAAGGTTGAGACACTGGTGTGAACAGAACTGGGGGTTTCACATGGCTTATGTCCAGGTGGTTCTAGGACCCTGGCCTCACTCTCTTCCCACCCTCCAATCTCTGGCCGAGGCTCCCATAAGCAAAGCCAACTGGAAGCTAGCAATCGTGAAAGCCCACTGACGGCCCACACGGGTGACCTGGGCAGAGGTAGGGTGCAGAGGTTGGAGAGGGGTGAACCTGGAGCAATAGCCGTGAACAGGAGGCATTCCCTTGTCTAACCAATGGATTCTTCCTCATGCTGCTTTGTTTCACGCGCATTAACGGGGAACCCATCAGGCCCTCACTGCACAGTGCTCTCGCAAACTGCGCATCTGACAACTAGCTCTTGGCCTGGCAGCTGTCCTCAGGCTAAGACACAGACAGAAGAGAAAAGTCCAGTTTTGCAGGGTGCCACACGAAAGATCCTGATAGCAGTAGCCTATCTGAAGTTTCCCCGCATCCCCCAAGTTCTTCACTCCCCAGAGAGCCTGAGTGGGACCTTCACCTGGGGCGGAGCCCCGGCATCCCCTCCAGACCTGTGTCCTCCCACTGGGGCTGGACCCCACCTGCCTGGTGCTGCTCGCAGTACTGGGTCCCTGTCGGGAGCGGCTACTCAGAAGCTTAGAGAAAGGGTTCCAGGAATGGGTTGGGGCATCTGTTTCTCAAAGAAACCATGAAATTGGAGACTCTCAGAGAATCTGGGCAGTTGTCCCATCTGAGGGTTCACTCCCTCTGACGGTCCTGGAAACTGCTGCCCCCCCCCAACCATATTCCTAGGTGTCTCCTGAAGCTTGACTGAATGTGTGACAAAGAACCTTACCCATCTCCATTGGCCCCAATGTCCCAAGTCCCAGACCTTCTTCCTGTCATGGTGTCTCTCCTGCATCCATCTTCCTCCTCGGGAAGGGCTCCAGCTTGGCCGAAGGAGGCTCCACACGTGGGGTCGGACCTGTCCTGCCCTCGAGCGGACAGAGGCTCTGGAGCTGCTCCCTGTAGACCTGCTCCCCACCCAGCTGCGCAGGTTCAGGGCCATATGGAGCTGCTTTCTCCACATCCGTCCCCACTGGGAAAAACAAAATAGAACCGGGAAGGGCAGATCCCATCTTCTCTGTTCTTTTTTTCCCCCTCTCTCTTCTGAATTAAAGGAAATACTGAAGTAATAAGGGAGTATTCAGTTTTACATCAATGTCTGTGAATTGGACAGTTCTCAGGTTGTCCTCAATTTGAGGAAATGGTGGGGGTGGGGAGCAAGAAGATAAATTAGGGAATTAATGGTGGTAATATGACCCACAGGAAAGCCAAGCTCTGCAAGGGCAGTACACTTTTTTTTTTTTAAAGACTAATAAATCTTTTCCTGTAGAATGTTTCTGTTCTTTTTTTTTTTTAAGATTTTATTTATTTGTCAGAGAGAGAGAGTACACACAAGCAGGCAGAGAGGCAGGCAGAGAGAGAGGAGGAAGCAGGCTCCCTGCCGAGCAAGGAGCCCGATGCGGGACTCGATCCCAGGACCCCAGGATCATGACCTGAGCCGAAGGCAGTGGCTTAACCAACTGAGCCACCCAGGTGTCCCAAGGGCAGTACACTTTTTTAAAAAGATTTTATTTATTTGAGAGAGGGAGAGAAAGAGAGCGAGCATGAATGGGGTGAGGGGCAGAGGGAGAAGCAGACTCCCCGGTGAGCAGGGAGCCCGATACGGGGCTCGACCTCGGGACCCCGGGAATCATGACCTGAGCTAAATGCAGATACCTAATGGCTGAGCCACCCGGGTGCCCCAGGGGCTCTACATTTTAACCAGCCTTTCCAAAGGGAATAAGAATGACTTGGAGACTGAGCATTGCCTGGGGGACAGGTAAGGGCACAGTGACTTGAGGTCAGACCCAGGGGGAAGGCCCCTAGCCCTCCCGTCCTGCCTGCTCAGTGATGTGACCCTCACCTTACGGCATTGTTGAGGACAAATGTGCCACACAGCCAAGAATTTGATACTAAAGCTGTTCTTCTGCTACAGAGCTGAGGAAGGGAGGCTGATGAAGGTGGTGTAGGTTTTAAAAAGTCTGGGAGGAGGCAGTGGCAAGAAACAGGGCAGAGGTGGGAGGGAAAGGATGAGGTGCAGCTGCTGGTTTGGAATGACGGGGACACCCGCAGATGGCAGGAGAGCAGACGATGTCACAGGTGTCCCTACGGTGCAACTGGTTCAGCGGATGTCTGAGTCCCCAGATGACGGAGTTTCTAAGAAGCGTTTATACAAGCCTGATCGATATTCAGGGCTCAGTTAATGCTTGCTGGATGAAAGAATGACTGAAGGTCACAAACTTGGACAAAGGAAGTAGAAAGTCTAGACAGGGATACAGCCCGTGGCCCAGGAAGGTCAAAACTAAACCAAGGTGGGTAAAGCATGTCTCCTCGCTGCTTGCTCTTGTGAGGGGCACCGTGGAGGGCGATCTTCTGACTGAGCTCTTAGCACAACACTGCTTCATAGAACTCTTCCGAAATCTGCTCTCAGGTTTGTGCTTTGTCTTTAATGCTGAGCTTACCAACTGTCCCCATGGGTGCTGCTCAGATAACTTGGCACCCCAAAGTGAGTGCGCTGCCCTAACCAGACACATGCAAGCCTGTGGGCATCTCCCACTAGAGTGCCGGATCGGTCACCGTACGGTCAGTGCGGAGAGAACCAGCCAGTCTCCACACTACACTCCCAGTTTTCTGCCTACCCCTGTCTCTTCCTTAAAGATTAATATATTATTTTCTGCCTTGGGGCATCTGTCTTTCCCTTTGGCACTCTTATTGAGCAATTCCATACACTTCAGTGGCTTAAATTATCTTCTGACCCACATCTCCTCAATTTCTTATCTCTGTGCGACTGCCCACAGAACACCTCTGGTGCCTCAGAATGGGTTTAAAGTCGAGCTCCTCTCCTCCCAACATCTTGCTCCCCGTTGTGTGGCGGTTACCTAGGGCACACAGCAAGGCCTCAAATACATTAGTTAAATACGCTGGGGACGTTAGAGAAGACACTACGAACTTCCCTGACAGGGTCGGAGACCCTGGGCTGGAGAAGAGACCCCAGCTGTAGACCCACTGTAGAAGGACCCTCTGACACTGAGTGATCCTAAAGGGTCAAGGGATGGCCCTGAGGTGGCTGCGCTGTCCACCTTGTAGAAGTAACCACTGAACATAAGTGTTAGGCCTCAACCCAAGTCCCTCACCTAAAGCTACTGGTTTCAGACTTCTTTGATTCTGGAACTGAAACTCAAACATTCTGCTATCTTCCATTTTTTGGGGTGAGCACCAAAGCCTAGCCTGTGGTGGTGGGCAGAGGGGTTTGGACTCCTGAAAAGTGAAATTCTCATTAGACTTTAAGTCATTTGCAAGAGTCTAAGTTATCATCAGAAAACAGTTATCATCAGAAAAAGAGGGATCCAACCTGAATGATACCAGCCACCTCTCCTTCCTTTCTGCTCCTGACCCACAACTGCTCCTCTCCCTGCCCTCCCAGATGTGCCCACTCCCTCAGTCACCGTACCCCACGGCTTCATCCATCCAGGAAGTCCTCGTGCATGGTGCCCACCGGTGTATGATGATGAAGAAGAAAGCACGGCCCTGACTTCATGGGACACACAGACCGTGTCCTCCACCTCTCAGGAGTGGATGAAAAGGTGGGTGAGTCAGGGGCACCTGGGGGGCTCAGCGGGTTAAGCGTCTGCCTTCAGCGCAGGTCATGATCTCAGGGTCCTGGGATCGAGCCCCGCATTGGGCTCTCTGCTCAGCAGGGAGCCTGCTGCCTCCTCTCTCTCTGCCTGCCTCTCTGCCTACTCGTGATCTCTGTCTGTCAAATAAATAAATAAAATCTTAAAAAAAAAAGAAGGTGGGTGGGTCATAAGGTGGACTACTGCTCAACATCACAAGGCATGCAATGTGGTGACAGACGGCAGCTACACTAGTGAGTGGCACGTAACAGTGTGGAGTCACTATGTTGTACCCCTGGCACCAGCATAACATCCTGGGTCAACCAGACTTGGACAACAAGGAAAAGAAATGACGCACTGATTCGTGAGACAACATAGATAAGCCTTGAAGACATTATGGCAAGTGAAAGAAGCCAAGCACATGGGGCACCTGGGGCGTGGACGGTTGATTGCCAACTTGGTTTCAGCTCTGGTCATGATCGCAGGGTCGTGAGTTCAAGCCCCGGGTTGGGCTCTGCACTGCACAGAGTCGGCTTGTCCCGCTCCCTCTGCTCCTCCCCCTGCACACTTGCTCTCTCTCTCCCTCTCTCACTCTCAAATACATAAATTAAATATTTTTTGAAAAAAGAAGCCAGGCACAAATGATGTATAAAATCATATATGATTTCATTTATGTGAATGTTCAGAATAGGTAAATACATACAGACAGAAAGTAGGTTGTTGTTTCCCTAGGGATGGGGCAGATAGTAACATTGGGGAGTGATGGGAAGGGGGTACAGGGTTTCTTTTGGGGTTAATAAAAATTCTCTAGAATTGGTCACAGTGATGGGTGCACTGTTCTGTGAATGTATTAAAAAACATTCAATCGTACACATGAAGTATGGTATGTGAATTGTGGATCAGGAGAGCTGCTTACACATTTGAAAAGGCCAGGGCACCTGGGAGGCTCAGTTGGTTGAGCCCCTGATTCTTGATTTCAGCTCAGGTCATGACCTCAGGGTCTTGGGACCAAGTCTTGCATCATGCTGGTCAGGGAGCCTGCTTAAGGTTCTCCCTCTCCCTGTCTCCTCCCCCACCCCCTACTTGTGCACGCTCTCTTAAAAAAATTTTGTTTTTCTTTTGAGCAAGCCATTCAAACCTGATAACTCTCCAAGAAAGCAGAGTAACTGCATTGATCAGAAAAAGCTAGAGGTTGCGGAGCTGCCAAGGCTGCGAGAGGAGCAGGGTGGTTTCTCCGGTCACTGAGGGCCAGGGAGGGGTTTAAGACCTCCACCCTGACCTCCAGAACTACAGGGCAGCCCATGAAATGAACAGGGGATGAAGGAATTTGTCATCCTTCGGGACAGAGCGGAAGCGTGTGCTCTGCAGGATGGGATGAGGCGAAACAGAGTGAGGTGTGAGCAGATCTTCAGGCTCACACTAATTAATCACTAATCTAGTGATTAGACCCTAGAGTTGCTGTCAGGGACGGAAGCAGTTATGTGACAGAGACATACCAAGATGCTGCTTGTTCTCTTAGTGTTTGGAATCCCAGGCAACGAGGACATGAAACCACTACGTGGAAGCTTGTGTACGCTGAGTGACCAGTAAGTAGCTATTCCTTATGCCATTCTGTGTCCTCTTTCATTTTTTTTTAAGATTTTATTTATTTGAGAGAGAAAGCACACACAACCAGGAGGAGGGCGCAGAGGGTCAGTGGGAGAAGCAGGCTCCCCACTGAGCAGGGAGCCTGATGTAGGGCTCAATCCCAGGACCCTGTGATCATAAATGGAGCTGAAGGCAGATGTTCAACTGACTGAGCCACCCAGGCACACCTACTTTTTTTTCAAGTTTATTTATTTATTTCTACTTTTGTAATCTTCTACACCCAATGGGGCTCAACTCACAACTCCAAGATCATACGCTCTTATGACTGAGCCCACCAGCGGCCCCGATTCTATTTTTTTGTTTGAACATTTCTATTAAAACATACGTTCAAAATGCAGACGGATACTAGGAAAACGAGATATTTGGGGCATGTCCCCTTCCAGGAATGATGTCGAAGCCTAAACCTAACCCTAAACCCTGCACCTGCCAGCAGCATTTCTCCAAGCTGATAGAGGATGGGCCCTTAGCAGAGCCAAGTCACTGTGGCAACCTGGGGCCCCAGAGCAGGATTAATTCAGGGCCTGGAGCTTCTGCAAACTCACAGAACAGAAAAATCAAGGAAGGGCAGGTCGCAGCCTGGCCCAGGATCTCTAGGACTTCATGGGAACATGCAGGGCCCCAGCTCAGCACAACACCCAGGCCACAGGCTCCTGGGAAACGTGTGCTGCAGCCTCCGTCCCAGAAGCTAGAGACCCAGCTCCAACGTCCAGCCTTGCCCAGTGCAGACCACACGGGGAGTCACGGGGGTCCGAGTCTCCCAGAGCACAGGCAGAGACCATTCTCTCCTCCCTTTCTCAAGAAAATGTGTGCTGGCACAGCCGTCACACGAATGACTCCACAGAGCTTCAGCTTAGTGGCAGAGCCAAGCACTGGGCCCCAGATCCCCCACTCTGCCTCCAAGGCTAACCCAGGGCAACTGCATAACATGCTGGCGGGAACGTGGAGAACATGGTCTGGGGTGCTGAGTTCCAGGCTCAGGGACCCTAGCCAAGGGCGGGAGCTGGCCCTCACCCTCAGGATCGCCTGGGAAGGGTGAATGCTGGTCAGCCACCAGCTTAGGGAAGTCACAGGCACCAGAGCAGAGACAGCCCGTGAAGGTGGCCCTCCACACCGCTGCCTTGAATCACGATGTCGACAATCCACTTTAAAATATTCCAGCAAAGGAGTGCCTGGTTGGCTCAGTGGGTTAAGCCTCTGCCTTCCACTTGGGTCATGGTCTCAGGGTCCTGGGATCGAGCCCCACATCGGGCTCTCTGCTTGGTGGAGAGCCTGCTTCCTCCTCTCTCTCTCTCTGCCTGCCTTTCCACCTACTTGAGATCTCTGTCTGTCAAATAAATAAATAAAAATCTTTAAAAAAATATTCTAGCAAAAATGTGGGGGGACAGCTGACAAAGGGTAGCCACATGGTAGCAGCTGCTGGGTTAGGGCGTGAGTGCGGGGGTCTGCTGTTCTCTGCACTTTTGTATAAAGGATAATCGGGCACTTAAAAGTTTTTAAAATGAACACCTCCTCTACCCCCACAACAAGCCCCAAACAAGAAGGAAAACATCTTTTTCTGCACATTTATGCATGTAGCATATAACGCGTGGAAAGAAACACGGGAGGCTTCTACTCACTCATTCACAGGTTTACCTAGAGGGTGAGTTGCAGAAGGAGAGATGACAGATTCAGCTAAAAGTGTTGTCTTTTCAACTATCATATGATCTCCCTGATATGAGGGAGAGGAGATGCAACATAGGGGGTTAAGGGGGTAGGAGAAGAATAAATGAAACAAGATGGGATCTGGAGGGAGACAAACCATAAGTGACTCTTAATCTCACAAAACAAACTGAAGGTTGCTGGGGGGAGGGGGTCGGGAGAGGGGGGTGGGGTTATGGACATTGGAGAGGGTATGTGCTATGGTGAGTGCTGTGAAGTGTGTAAGCCTGGTAATTCACAGACCTGTACCTCTAGGGATAAAAATATATTATATGTTTATAAAAAATAAAAAAAATTAACATTTTGCAATGAGACATTTAAGGAAGAAAAAGAAAATCATCACTACCAGGAGATGTCCTGCCTAATTTGAAACAAAGTGGCGCTGCCCCCCCCCCCACCGAGAGTCACAACAGCACATCGCCCTTCATAGTCCTCCTTGTGGGAAGCCCTGAGCCCCCTGGACAGCCCATTCCGCTCTCCGGAGCCCCCTCCCAGCGAGGCTCCCCTCAAGCCATCAGCCTCTTCCCGGATGGCCGTCCCAAGCGGCACTCCCAGCCTCAGGCTCCACCGGCACAGTCCGACGGAAGTGGAACGCCAGCCACCACAGTCGTTTTAAACTTACTAGTCACACACACACACACACACAAAACAATGAAAAAAATGGGACTAAATTTAACAATGTATTTAAGCTAACACATCTAAAACACCATTTGAACATGTAACAAACGTAACAGCTCTTGGGAGACATCATCTGTGCTTGTTCGCATCGGGCCTTTGAAGTCCAGCGCTCGCTACTCTCACAGCACGTCTCAGTCTGGACCAGGCCCAGTTCATGCGCTTGACAGCGGCTCAGGGTTCGCGGCCAAGGCTCTGGGCAGTGTGGATCAGACTACAGGCCTCCCCGGCCCTCCCCTGGCACAAGCCTTCCCTGCAGCCCTCTTCCCTGAGGGCTGCTGCTTCCTCCACTCTGGGCTCCAGACTGATGGGGGCGGGAGGGGCAGCATACCCTTTGTCCCTCAGGAGTTAAATCAAGGGGCAAGCCAGCAGGCTTCCGGCCATCAGGTCTCCTGCTGGAGACTTCAGCGCGACTGGTGCCAGTTAACCTGGATTCCCGCACAACAGGCAAAGTGTTGGTTCCCGCTGGGGGCAGCAGCTGCCTCTGACTTGGACCAGACACCGTTCCGGTGGCCCTCGGTGTTGAGGGTGGTGAAGCCCCTCAGGCTGGGCCCACAGCAGCCTCCTGAGGCCACCAGGGGGATGAGGTTTCCAGTCAGGACTCAGACCTGAAGCCAGACCACATCCTGGAGAGCTCCAGGAAGGGATTCACCTCATTGTCTGAAGTCTGAATTCTTGTCAAGGTTTTTAAGACTTTAAGTGGTCTCTACACCCAGTGTGCGGCTTGAGCCTACAACCCTGACAGTAAGAGCGGCACGCTCCACCAGCTGAGCCAGCCAGGCGCCCCTTTTGAAAGTTTTCTAAGGTGCCTGGTCTGGTTCAAGAAAAAACTTGCCATGAGCTGAGGAGTCTGGTTAACCTCTCACCTGAGGCCCAAAGTGGGTGCCGTGGGAGATCACGTAGCATTACTCCCTCACTCTGAACTTTATTTATTTATTTGAGAGAGAGACCCCTCCCTGAGTGCGGAGCCTGACGTGGGGCTCGATCTTGCAACCCTGAGATCATGACCTGATTCAAAACCAAGAGTCCAACACTCCACCGACGGAGCCTCCCAGGCGTCTCTCATCCCTCCCTCTGAACCTTAAAAACAAGGAATCTGTCAGCTTGTCAGACCCTGACCGCCTGTCCCCATCCTCCCCTCCCGCCCAGTGTCACAGCTGGGCCTGTGCTCAGCCAGGACGGTCCCCGCAGCACAGCCCCATCCCAGCCACCACGCCCTGCCGCCGTGATGGGAGGCAGAAGGGCTGTGGGTCAGAGGCGAAGGCCCGGCTGCCCCAGCAGTACCCTGACCCAGCCCAGAAAGTCCGCAAGGGCTGGCCTCGCGGGGTGGTGGCCCGGGTGAGCTGAGGGATGTGGGGGAAGCGTGGGAACAGCCCCCGCACAGGGACGCGCTGCGACGGGCGCGAAGCTGTTCCGGACCCTGGAGGAGCCACAGTGAACAGGACACACGGTCCCCGCAGAAGCCCAGGGCTCCGGGGTGCAGCGCTGCCCCGCCCGCAGGGGGACGCCCTGCGCCCTGGGTGACCGCCTACACCGCGGCCGCTGCGGGAGCGAGCTTCCCCGCCGGTGGGGCCCTCGGCGCACACGGAGCCGCGCTCGGGCCTCTCCCCGGCCCGTCCGCGGGGCCGGGTCAGCAGGGACTCCGGCCGAAGGCCTTCCCACGGCCGCGCCCGCCAAGGACCGCTTCCCCGGAGCGTGTGGCCGTGCTGGGCCCGCCGGGAGCCGGCCCGGAGGCCGGGCCGCCCTCCTGCACCGGAAACCCTCGGCTCGGCTGGGGGCTGGGGGGCGCGGGGCTCGCGGGCGGCGGTGGTGCGCACGCGCTCTAGTGCCCGTGGGGGCCGCCCTGGTGCGCGCGGAGGCTCGGGACGCCCGGCGGCGTCTCCCCGTTGCAGCCCGCAGCCCCTTCCTCGCAGATCAGACCCCCCAGGGCCGCGCGGCTCGCCGGCACCGGAGCCGGCCCTTGGCAGACGTGCTGCCCCGCGCGGGGCCCTCAGCACCTCCCGGCATCTGGCTTCTTCAGGCGCGCACGCCCGCCGGTTCTCCGTACCTGCAACGGACATCCAAGAGCGATGAAATGAAAGTGCACCTGGCTGCCCGCTGGGGAGAGGCGCTCGGCCCTCACAGGTCGGAGCCCATACAGGGGCGACCTGGAGAAGCGCAGAGAAGGAAGGAACGAAGTCAGGGCAGAACTGGGCCTCTCGAGTTCAGGAGGCTCAGCCTAGTGGGGGCCAGAGCGTGTGGAGCCAGCAGTTGTCTGGAAAGATGGGGAGGCTTTGGTGGGCTCCTCCTGCTTCCCTGCACCACCGGCATCCCTCTCCCTGCCCAAGGGAAAAGGATCTTTGGGGAGATAGAATGGGGTCATGGAGGAAAGCCAGGGAGAAGTGCACTCTGGACCCTGCCACCGGCTGGGTGTGTCTGTGACCAGCCTCCCAACTGGGGGGGCCGAGCCTGCTTTGAGGGAAGACTGTAGGGAGGCAGTAGCTGGAGAGAAGTTTGCTGAGGACAGACACACTTGTTTTCCAGAGATACTGCGGATATGGGCCTTGGCCCCCTGACCTCACCACCGAGAACCCAGCACCCGCACCCCACCTGCAGGAGGCACACACCTCACTTTTCCCTCTACCTGCACCCCTGAGGTCAGGGCCAAACTCAAAGCTTTGGAGCCAAGTTTGCTTCAAAATAGTCACCCCAACCGATGTTGGGGAATATCATCAGAATGATGACACCACCAACTGACCCTGAGTGGGACCTGGGCATTCAGAAGGCTCTGCCCTGCTCCCCTGTCCTTGGGATGTGGACTCTGTGGGAGGCCACGGTAGGGCTTGAGACGAGAACCAAACCAGGCCCTGACTTGTGCCTCCTTTAAAGGCAGAATAGCAGAACTAAAGGCTTAGGTCGGTAAAGTCGAGCAGCCCTGAGAAAGGGTCTGTGCTGTGTGTTGTGCGCTCGCCTGCGTGACTTCCCACACGTTTGCTCGTCAGACAGAGACGATTTGGCCGGGGTCAGAAATTCTTGGCTGGTCCTTGCTGTCCTTGCACGGGCTACGGACTACACCACTGTAAGACTGTGCTGTGCTTCCATAAACTATGTCTTGAGTGGCCTTGAAGTCAGTGCATCTGGCTAGAGGGTCTGTTATTGGTGCTTGGGAAATAGATAATGGGAAAGCTTGAAGGATTTTCTGTGCTTGTTGCAAACTCTTTAGTAATCAGCTAAAAAGAGATACTTTCTTATGATTGTTTCTGTTAGCTATATAATGCCTTGCTGCCTTGAATAAAATTGGCACTACTGGACATCCTCCTTGGTGCTCCTCCTGCCCCCATCTCTTTGTCTCTTAATTTCTTTTCAGCATCCTCTTACCCTCTCGACCCTGGTCGATTTGTCGTGCCGGCCGCGACAGGGCTCCCCTTGCCTTTTGTGTTTTCAGAGGCTGCCGCCAGGCCAGACCTTTGAGAGGGTGATGTGATGTTGAAAATACCTGCACACTGTGTAACTGGACCCAGTCAGGGCCTCTGTTTGCAGATTATTTTTATTTATCGATTTCTTTTTCATTTTGGGCAGGGGGCTAGCAGGAGAGGGACAGAGAGAATCCCAAGCAGGCTCCTGGCCCAGCATGGAGCCGATGTGGAGCTGAGATCAAGACCTGAGCCGGAGCCAAGAGTTGTATGCGTAACTGAGTCACTCAGGCGCCCCGTGGTCAGGGCCTCTTTATAAACTTTTAGGACCGGGTGGGCGGGTGCAGGGACCCATTCATCTTGCTGCCTCCCAAGACAAGTTTCGTATGTTCCCTTTTCTTATTAAAACTGCCCTCCCCACCTGGAGTGGGCTTCCCTATTTCTTTGGTCTCTCCCTGTCCTCTGCACACAGGGCTGGTTTCAGATTATGCTCGAGAAGTTCCTGAGAGGGTTGGAAATCAACAACAGCCAGAGGGCCCCCAAGCCCCGTGCCCCACCGTCTGCCTGGCTGGCTGCATCCCAGGGACACGGCTCATGCAGCAGCCCCCAGGACGCTGCAGTGAGGGTGACACAGGGCTCTCGAATGCAAGACTGGTGTGTGTACTCACAACCTCGTGAACAGGACAAGCTGCTGAGGAGGCTTCTGTGAAGGCCAATGAACCTGGAAGATAGGTGGGAAACCTTGGACTTGCGTCTGTTCCGGCGGCCAGCTCCTGTGCTCTCCGCTGTTCTCACCCATCGCACTCCTCCAGGACCTGCGACTTCTTGCTCTGACCTCCACTGACAATACTGGACCCTCCTCAGGCTTCTCCTCCCCGGTCGAAGACACATGAGCCATGATGTCTCTTGAGGTCTGAGCTACTGGCTGAGGGTCTCTGCCCAGATGCCGGCAAGTGAGCCCCTGATTCCATTTTCTAAGACACCTTGGAAAACGAATCGTTCCTGGGCACGCTTGCATCCAGAGTCTCCTCCCAAATCCCAAGAGTGTCAGGAAACAGCAGGCGAATCTCAGCCGTCCTCACCCACAAGCTCCATGGGCAACCTGCGCCCCCACCCCTCTGTCCTCCTGTGCCGAGCCCTTCTGGCCCTTCCTGGCTGCCTCAGCAGGCCCGCCAGCCTCCCACCACGCCATCCTGCATCCCAGGTCAGGCATCACCTGAGCCCCGACAGTGAACAGAGAGCTCCCCTCCGTCCTCGCATCCCAGCGACCCGCCAGCAAGGCTGCCGTGTTTGGTCAGTCGGTGTTCACAGAGCAGCTGCTCCCAGGAGCAGGACAGACAGGGTCTCTGCTCTCACCAGTTACAGGCTGTTGATGGACCTAAGCCCTTCCCCGCTGGACACCTAGGAAGGACTTACCGCTCACGAAATCCAGTTCCCATGCCATGGACAGCTCTCGAGACCCAGCGTCCCCGTCCCTGTCCCTGCAGGCACTGCCCCGCCCACTGCAGCTACCCTGCCTGGGTGACATGGTTTTGCTGTCAGCCACGCCGCCCTCTTCTCAGGCTCCCCGACACCCACTTGAGAAGAGCCTCCAAGGCCATATGAGCAGATCCCCCACTAAGCCAACCATGGCTCCGTGGGCCAAACACCACACCGTTGTTGGGAAACCAGAGGCCGAGCTGCTCTCGGGTGAGGTGGCACCGCTGTGTGGCCCACACTTTGCGCTCGGAGCCTGAGCGCTGGGCTCCCTGCACGGCATGGTGGTTGGCATGCCTCGCCTGGCCCAGGATGCACGCCCAGTGGACATCACGGTGGTCGTGCAATCCCGGATCCCCACGACCACTCCGTCACTCCTGTGGGTCACAGCCCGCAGTCCGTGAGGCGGGGGCACGGCTGCTCCCAGCCCTCTGTCTGCCCCACATTGCCCCGTCCTCACAGCTGTGGCCTGGAAGGGACTCTGGTTATGCTTATTCTCGTCCCCTCAGCAAGTATCTCTCAGAAGCACTCTCTCCCCTGTTTCTGGCCAAGTGAGGCTCTGTGGCACCCCCCCGGCTTCAGCAGGGGGTTCGGCTGGGGTTTGGCGGCCAGGAGTCCTGCTTGAGAGACACAAGGGCTGATCTGGGCACATCCAGGGTGGCCGGCCTCCTGGGCAGGGCCAGGACTGGGGCAGACCTGGGAAGTCCACACTCTTGTACCCAGCTGGGGCTGCCTGTAGGACACTCATGGGATAGAAGGGGCTTCCCAGATCTCAGCTTCAGGAACTTGGGAACTCATCCAACCCTCCCTACCTTTAGCCTTAGGACTTCTGGAAGCCTGGGTTGCCTGCTGTCCACCCCCAGTGAGACCACATACCCATAGTCCTCTAGCCTCACGTCCCAGGAGATCTGCCTCTGATGGGGGCCCAAACACCGCCACACCTGGCTGGTGACGTACACAGCCACCTCCTTGAAGGTCATGGGGTCCTGAAACATTGGGACTCTGTGGGCCACACAAGGCTGGGACAAAGCGTCTGACTGGTGTGGGGTGGGGGAGGCAGAAAGACCCAAAGAGCCAATGCACCCACAGGGCTTCGGCCCTGACCTCAGAAGAGGTGTCTCCTGCAGGCCCAGAGAATGAGTTCCTCATGTCTGGGGTGGGGCCGGCTTGACGCCCCCTCCACGGGGAGAGGCCCACAGGCCCCTGGAGGTGGCTGGGGGTTGACCAAGGCTGATTCACGGGGAGCCCTCTTACCCTGCCCTGCAGCCCAGCACAGCTGCTCGCGATGCCCTGCATTCACTCGCTGGTGCCCACGGCAGTGATCTCACCACAGGCAAGCCATCTCGCCCTGGCTCAGCCTCACCCCTGTCATCCCCCGACACTCCTCCCACGCTCCCACCAGCCCTGCCTCTCCACAGCCATAGCCAGCCCTTGGGTTTGAGCTGCCTCTGCTCTGCCTAGACACCAGCTCTTGGCGGGTCTTGCGTGCAGGCCCCGGAAGCTCTTGAGGCCCCACTGGGGGCTTCTGGTGGGTCCAGCAGGGTCGGCTGGGTCTGCACACACCCCCGACCCCTCCGCCCTTTGGCTTGTCCTGCTGCTCCACCTGACCCCCATCTGATGTTCCTGGTCCAGCCGGGCCATACCCCGACCACACCACAGCCCCTGAGGCGGACAGTGAGAGCGAGGTGCTGTGCCTGCCCACCCCCCCCAAAATACCCAGCTTCATCCCAAGACAAGTTTGCTCAGGAGGGACAGCCCCACTTTCCGAGAAGAAATAGGGGTACCTGGTGGTTCAGTCACTTGAGAGTCCAATTCTCGGCTTGGGCTCAGGTCATGATCTCGGGGTCGGGAGATCGAGCCCTGATCAGGCTCCCCCACTCAGCGAGGTGTCTGGATGAGATTCTCTCTCCCTTCTCCTCCCTTCCTCTCTGCCCCTCCCCCAGCTTACATGAGCATCACCCCACACTCCCATAAATAAATAGATAAGTAATAGATAGATAGATGAAATCTTGAAAAGGAAAGAAAAGAAACAGGGCCATGAGCCCAGCTCTGTAAGGCCTGTGGGCTGCGTTTCCATCCCAGGCCATGTGTCTCCTCATCCAGCAGGCAGGATACAAGGCGCAGGTGCTGTAACGCCCAGGTCGCAGCCTTCCTCCCCTCCCGCAGACCACCTGTGGACCCTGAACCCAGGTTTGCTCCTGTGGCCCCTGCTAGGGGTGGGAAACACACCCTCGCAGCTGCTGCCCTGTAGTCCTTACTCTCGGCTGTCGAGGGAACAGCCAGCAGGTGCTCACCCTCATCCCACACCTGCCTCTGGCCCACCACAGCTAGGCCGGCACATCAGGGGCTAGGTGCCTGCCTCTGGGGGCATCTGCATTTGGGCCTCTCACACTCCACCTCCCCAGTACTCGTGTCCAACCTCCTGCAGAAGACAGTGAGGGACTAGGAGCCTGTGTCACCTGCTGGGGCCTAGGGACTAGGGACTAGGAGCCTGTGTCACCTGCTGGGGCCTCCCTTTGGGAGTTGCTGCTCTGCCTCAGCCCTGGACATTGTCTATGGGCCGTCTTGGGAAGAAGCACTTGCTGCTGGAACACAACTGAACCCAGCTCAGTCATTCCACCTGCTGAAGTCTCTCGAGCTCTGTCACATCTAGAATCTGAAGTCGCCTCCCTGGGTGACACCTTGCTCTTCCTGCCAGCCCTGTGTGTGCAGGTCGCCTTCCCCAGCTCCGCAACCTACCACAACTCTAGACCAACCTATAATCACAGGACCTGGGTCTGCGTGTCAGATGTTCCCGAGGAGCCATGTGGGGCCGACTCCCCCTTCAGATGCTGGCCTGGACAGTCCCTGGAGGACCTAGCGCCTGCCTGTTCTAGGGACTTGGCACGTATCGAATGGAGGGACCTGAAGTCCCCTCGGCAAGGCCACCTAAGCCCTGGCTGGATGGCGCTGAAGGCTGAGATGGACTTTGTGTGTGACATCCCTCCCTCTGCTCTGGACTCTCTGGGGACCCCAGCTCTGGGCATGGGGAGGGGTTTTGTCTTTCTGTTTCGTATTCTTGTCTCAGGCAGTGCTGGTGAGCCTCCATGCTCTTCTCCACAGTCAACGCATGTTTTCTAAATGTTTGTAGCTTCTGCTTACAAAGCACTAAACTGGGAGAAACCAAAAGAGAGGAGGCCTTCACCCTCAGAGCGAGGCCGTGGTGTGCGGACGTGCTAGCTGACCCAGCAGGCTGTCCGAGGCAGCGCCGGGCCTTGGGAGCAGCAGGGACAAATGCTCTCATCTTAGCCAAAGAACCGGCAGGAGAAAAATGTCTAAGAGACTCCGACTTCTCAGAAGACGCTCTCTTTCTACTCAGTACCCAGGTTCTTTGTCACAGAAAGATATTTTCTAAGTACAGGTGCTCCGAGGCGTGACCGTGGGCTCACAGAGCATGTCTCTCACTTTTACAGACTTCGGGGAATCGAAGTTTGGCCACTTGGAGACTGGTGTCTTTTCTCCTCCCTCTTCTAAAACCAGAGAACGCATCCCCTTACGATGGTGTGACATGGGAGTGTGTAGGCAGCCCTCCCAGGGAGCAAACCGCAAATTAGACGGCGCATTTAATGACACACCGGCCAAAACTGATGAGCTGTCTGGAATCAGGTGGGAAGTGCGTGGTTGACAGTTTCTACACATAATTTGTCTCTTCTTGAAATTTTTTTTAAAGATTTTATTTATTTATTTGACAGAGAGAGATCACAAGTAGGCAGAGAGGCAGGCATAGAGAGAGAGAGGGCAAAGCAGGCTCCCCGCTGAGCAGAGAGCCCGATGTGGGGCTCGATCCCAGGACCCTGGTATCATGACCTGAGCTGGAGGCAGAGGCTTTAACCCACTGAGCCACCCAGGCACCCCATCTTCTTGAATTTTTTTTAAAAGTAAGCTCCATGCCCAGCGCGGAGTCCAATCTGGGGCTCGATCTGACCACCCAGGCTGAGATCAAGACCTGGGCTGAAATCAGGCGTCAGACACTCAACCAACCGAGTCACGGAGGTGCCCTTTGAACGGTTTCCACATCTGTAATCAAAGTCAAGCCACCAGCCCAGCCGTTCCCGGTACCTTTGTCTGCCCCCCTCCTTGGCCAGTGCGAGTGATCAGCTCCTTCTGGGCTGTGGGGAGCTGCCCTTCCAGCAGGCAAAGACCTCATCCTAGGATGGCCCCCTCTCAGGCCCAGTACTAGAATCTGTCCGGGCCCCAGGTGGCTGCGGGCCTCACGGTTCGTATTTGATGGGGTTCCTGCCCCCGCAGACGGCACTGTCCTACAGTGACTTCCCACGGGTTTGGGGAATCGAAATCTCTGGCAGCAGGAGAGCACTGTCCCCCAGGGTCCAAAGCAGTCCCCCACCCCTTTACATTGTGCTGCAGGGTGCTACAGGGTGAGGGCTGTGGGCAGAGCTGCCCCCTCCCCCATGCCCATACCCCAACCTTGACCTCAGCACAGCCCATCCTCCAGAGGGCCCCGAGCCCACTGGACGCTGAGGACGGCACCCTAAAGCCCAGCCAGGACTAGCCTGGCCCCAGGAAGGATCTTCAGGGTCTTCATTTCTGTATAAAACCCTCCACACTGGATCCCCAAATCCTCTGGTTCCCATTGGATCCACCTGTGGACGCAGCCCAAGCAGGAAGTCTGCGAGCTGCCTTGTGCCAGGCAACCAGGCCCCTGCCCTGGAGGGTTCACAGCCGTCCCTACCCTAGCTCCTGTCCGACAGCCGAGAGACTTCGAGCCGTAGACCATAAGGACAGAGTGCTGGGAGGGAGGACGCCAGGCTGACGGCCCTTCGTGGCCCCAGCACCCTCAGCCAGGACGTGGGGCGTCTCACCCTGCAGCTGAGGAAGCATTAGAAGCGGCCGGGTGATTTTATGTTTCCTTTGACCAGCGGTTCTCAAACTTCACTGCATGTTAGGGTCACCCAGGAACCCCTTAAAAGTCTCGATGCAGGGGCGCCTGGGTGGCTCAGTGGGTTGGGGCCTCTGCCTTCGGCTCGGGTCGTGGTCCCGGGGTCCTGGGATCAAGCCCAGCGGGGAGCCTGCTTCCCTTCCTCTCTCTCTGCCTGCCTCTCTGCCTGCTTGTGGTTTCTGTCTGTCAAATAAATAAATAAAGAATCTAAAAAAAAAAAAAAGTCTCGATGTGATGTCCAGGCTTCACCCCATATGCGAATGCAGCCTCTGCGGGTAGGGCCCAGGCAGGGACCCGACACACAGCCAGCCTGCAGAGCTCACGGCCCACTGATGATGCACCACAGCCTCCCTGAGCCCTCGAACCCTGGTCAGCTTGGGGCTGGCCGCTTGGGAGCTGCCCCTCTGACCTGAGGCCCGGAGATAGCCGCTTATCAGTGACCCAGAGCTCGCAGCTCTCTGTGGGCCAGGAGCGGCAGCCTGGGGATGGGCACAGGGAGACCCTGAAGTCTGTGTGGGAATCTAGGGTGGGTGGGACATGGGAAGCAGCCCAAGCTGGAGGCAGGCAAAGTAGCATGAATGAGCTGCCCTGTGCACAAGGCCCCCTGCCTCCCAGTCACCACACTGAGGCTGCACAGCCCCCTCCCTCGTGCCATCACCTGCTCCATGGGTCCTAAGGGGCATGGCAGACTCAAAGACCCCTCGAACTGACACGAGGAACTTCCCACAGTGTCTCCTCCTGGGGAACCCCCACCCTCCTGATGGCTCCCTGTGCAGGATTTGGTCCTGACCATCACCATGTGTCCCCAGGCATTTCTAGCTCTGCCCTAGGTGAGGTGTTGGTTCCCGCAGGGGCTGTCCTGGCCTAGGACCTGGGTTACGTGCTTGCCTGTGTGCACCTTTGTCACCGGCAGGCCCTGCTCAGCCCTCAAGGCCCAGATTAGGCATCATGTGTCCCCCGAAGCTTTCCAGAGGTAGATTTGATTGACAGAAACATGCCACCTCTGTGTCCCTGTTGCACTTTGTAAACGTCAGTGGAAGCACAACTGTTAGTCATTTGTTTGTAAAACCACAATATTTGGGACCAAACCCCTGCTTCACCACTTCTTAGGCATTTGACCTTGAGCAAGTTGCTTAGCTGCCTCAGTTTCCTAACCTATAAAACGGGGATCCTTGTCAATACTTGCTTCCTGTAATACCTGCCTCACAAGGTGTGGAGAGGGTTAAATGACAGCCTGTGAACATGCTAGCCCATGCCAGGGTCTCTGGACGAGGTCACCAGATGCTACCCGGTTCCCACTAACCTCTCAAGTCCAGCCCTCCATTGTCATGTTCTAGTGGTGCCAAGACCTCTGACCAATGGCAGAGCTCAGCTCGCCTCCCCAAAGGTGGGTGGAGATGCTGGCTGGAGTTCTACGGACCTCGTCCTGACCTGCTTGAAGTTGCCCTCCAGGGCCGTCCTGCTTTCAGGGGATGGGCAAACGCAAGTCCCAGAGTGCATTGGCATCTGGATACCAGCCCAGCGAACGGGCACAGAAGTGTCTCCGGCACCAGCACCCTGCTTCCTTCCCAGCTGCGTCTTCGTTGGCATCTCACACTCTGTGGTCACACTGAAAGAATCTGCCGGTCAGCCCCCTGGGTCACAAGCAACCATAACTGCTCAGTCTGTGCCAACCCAGAGCCACACCTAGGGGATGTGTCAGCCAGGCTGAGCCTGGCTCGCCCCCAGGACATCCCAGATATAGGGGAAGGGGACACTGCTAAGTGCAAGGGTTACTTCCGGCTGCAGAGGAGGCTGGCTCATATCTCTGTGTGGGTTGTATGTCCAGGTAAGACTTCAGGGGAAGGAGGGACAGCTACAGGGCAGGAGTCCCCACAGCCAGGGAAAGTGGGCAGTACATGACCAGAAGGGCCCAACTGAGTGAGGAGTAAGGGAAAGGTTGCGTGGAGCCGAGGGCTTCACTAAGGACTGGCTCCAGATGGTGTGAGGGGACAGTGAGGGGAGCAGAATGGACACAGAGAGACCTGGCTCCCAGGAGTGGCCGTGCCAGGCAGAAGGGTCGCTGGAAGTGGGGTGTGTTTGCACAGGTGCTCAGTGGATGGTGCCGATGGCCTGGAGGCCAGCTTTCAAGGAGGGGCCAGGCAGAGGCGCCAGGAGAAATGAGGAGTGTGGGTGATGTGGCAAGGCTGGGAGTCAGTGCTCAGAGTCTCTCTCCGAGCAGAGAGCCTGATGCGGGGCTGGATCCCAGGACCCTGAGATCATGACCTGAGCTGAAGGCTTAACCCACTGAGCCAACCAGGCACCTGTCTCCAATTTCCCTTTTTTTTTTTTTTTACCGTGGTAAAATATGCATAACGTAATAATTTACCATCTTAACCATTCCTACATGCACAGTTTGGTGGCATCAGGTCATTCATATTGTGCAGTCATCACGACCATCCAACCTGAGAATTCTGTTCATCTTGCAAAACCAAAACTCTGTCCCCACTGAACAATAACTCCCTGTCTCCCCTTCTCCCAGATCCTGGCAACTACCATTCTACTTTCTGTCCCTTTAAGTTTGACTACTCCAGGTGCCTCATCCGAGTGACCTCAACAGTGTCTGTCCCTTTGTGACTGGCTTATTTCAGAGTTTAATGTCCTCCAGGTTCATCGATACTGCCGCACGTGACAGATTCCTTGTTAGAAGATTGAGGGATCTCGTACGGAAGGAACGCATCGTGCCAACCCACTCACCCGTCGTGGACACTTGTGTTGCTCCCACCTTTCAGCTGTTACAAGTAATACACTATGAACATGGGCGTATAGACATGTCTTCGAGATCCTGCTTCCGGTCCCGTTGTGTATATGCCCAGTGGTGGAATTGCTGGGCCACAGAGTAGTTGTGTTTAATTTCTGCCGAACCTCCACACTGGTTTCCACACTGGCTGCACCAGCGGCACACTCGCCAGCGGGGCACGAGGGCTGCCTTTCTTCGAATCTTTGTCAATACTTGCTTCCTGTCGCTTTGACAGTAACCATCCTCATGGGTAGGAGGCCTGACTTTTTTTTGAACTTGCAGTGTTCAAATCGACACTAACAGGAAGCAGCTTTCCTCTTGGAAAAGAATCTAAAAGTATCAGTAACATCTGGTAAAGTGAATGTTGTAAAAGGCGTATCTCTGAGTCCTACTTCAGCCATATTTTCCATATTTGAGGTCCATCCCAATTAAGCTTGAACTCCCGTGAAAGAAATCCATTTCCTTTCTAGAAATCCTGTTTTTCAACTTTCATGTTCCTTTAGGGAAAAGTAAGATTGCTGACTCAGAGTTTAGTCAGTTTTTAATTTTTTTTTTTTAAGATTTTATTTATTTACTTGACAGAGATCCCAAGTAGGCAGGGCGGGGGGAAGGGCAGACTCCCCGCTGAGCAGAGAGCCAGATGATGGGGGCTCCATCCCAGGACCCTATGACCATGACCTGAGCTGAAAGCTCAGTTTTTAAAACAAGTTTCTGTTGAACATGGGATTCTAGTTGAGCACAGGAGAAAGAGATGGAAACATCACAGGCTCTGCCTTTGAGGGACTTGGGTCTGAGTAGGAGAAAAGGAGTCAGAAGGGAGCGGGAGGAGGTGGAACCTCACTCAGGAAGGTCCCGGTGCGGAGGGAGAGCCCGGGGTGGAGGGGGCTGAGCACAGGCCCTGTCACCTCGAGGCCCTGCCAACCACCTCTTCAGGCCCTCTTGGCACTGACTTCCAGCTCCTTACCTCCTCATGGTCAGGGGATCAGGAAAATTCTGCTTCTCTGCATGGCCCTTGGGTCTATTGGTTCTTCCCACCAGCTTTCCAGCCCAGCAGGCCTAGATCCAAAGAGTCATTCCCAGACATAGCAAACACCCTTCAGAGCTTTGACACAAGCTAAGCGCGCGCGCGGGAAAGGCTCTCCGGAGCACCCCGCAAGGCCCTTTTCCCCTAGGACCAGCCCTCGGAGCTGGGGAGGGGGAGTTGACTCCGCCCATCTCCTTCGCCGGGTGTGCGCCACATTTCACCGCGGCTGGCGGGGACCCCAGGATCTGGGTCAGCGACCAGTCCGGCGTTAGGTGCCCCCCTCCCCGGGAAAGTTCTGCGCATTCTCTCGCCCGTCCTTCCCGCCTCCGGGGCGCCTCGGCTCGGCTGTAGGTGCCCTGCGCGCCCCCCGCCCAGTCCCAACGGTGCCCTCCGCCTAGACCAAGACCCCCACCCACCCAGAACACAGCGGCCGTCTCCATTCGGCTTCTCCGCCCTCCTCCCCAGCTGGCCGCTCCCCCGTGCCCTCTGCGCCCCGGGCCGGGCCGTCTCCGCTGCCCGGAACGTGCCCAGCGGGAGCTTCCGTAGAAAAGCCCGGGCACAGACGCGGTGCGGGGACCCGACGTAGGCGGGGCCCGGCCGGGGAAACCCCCTGGCTTTCCATCTGCTTCGCCCTGGTCGGCTGCGCCCTCTGGACCGCGGGTCCTTCGCCTCCCCGGGCTGCTAGACCCTGGCCCTGGCCCTCTCTCCACTTTGGCCCCGCCCCTCCCTTGGCCCCGCCCACGATCCAGTCCTTTCACCGGCGCTCTGGCCCCGCTCCTTCTCTCGCACACGGGCCGCGAGGCTGGGAACCACGGAGATGACCGAGCCTCCGAGCCGCCCAGAGAGGCCGGAAGTCTGTGAGACAGAGCGGGAGCGTGCGTCGAAGGCCCGTTTCCGGTTTTGTCGCGCGTTCGGAGCCTCGGGCGGTCCACTGGGAGGGTGAGTGGGCGCGTCGGGCGCGGACTCGGGGCCAGGCGGGTTATGCGCTCCTCCCGCTCGGGCGGAGTGGCAGCTGGCCGACCCCCGCGTCCGGCCGCCTCCGGCACTGCGGGGGAGCGCGGGTGGCGCGAGCGGCTTGGGGACGCCGTGGGCGCCTGGCGCGGGGGGTGGCCCGCGGCGGCGGGAGGCATGAGGCCGAGTCCTGCAGGCCCGGCCGCGTAGCGCGGTGCTGGTGGCGGGCTTCTCCCGCGGCTTTCCCCCCAGGTCTCGGCGTGCTCCGCGCGGGGTACCCCTTCCCGCGGAGCCACCGCCTCTCGGGTCCTCTTTCCCCCGTTTGCGGCCCGTGGAAGACCCGACGCTAGCGGCGGCGGCCGGAGGGGCTGTGCGGTGGGCGCGGTGGGCTTTCTGCGTCCCCGAGTTCTGGCTGCCGCTCGGCCTGCTCTCCTCTGCTGGGGACCGGCGTCCCTGCTGGGCGAGGGGGGGTCACTGCTGCCCGGGTCATCTTCCCTGGACCCGCAGTCTGGGCTGCCGCCCACGAGCCGCTTTCTGAGCCAGAAGCTCCCCCAGGAAGCCGCTTCTCAGACCTGGGGGAATAGCAGGTTCATGCGGGCGGCGGGGTTCCGTCCCGCCCCGCTTCTTCCTGCGGTCTGTTCCGGCCGCGTCCTCAGGCCGCACCACCGCCTCCCCCGCTGCCTTTGGCGCCCTCCGCACCGCGGTCTGGTTGGCGCCTCTGGGACCGGATCCATCAAAGTAAACCCGAGTTTCCCAGTTGAGAGGCTTCGGAGTTTCTCCCACCGAGGCGCGGACACGGAAGTTTCACTCCTCAGACCGCTTCCTGAAGGCAGGTTCTCATGCCTTGTGCATGGCCGCGTCCCCTGCCTGCCTAGTCGGGACCTGGCGGAGGCGGCAGCCCCCCGCCCGCCCTGTGTCTGTGGAGTGACTCACGCACCTCACACACGCGGAAAGAGGAAGGGAGCTTCCGGGGGCAGATGCTCACGAGCTGTGGCCACTTGGGCTCCACCATATGTCCCTGCTGAAGAACACTGGGGTTAGAGGTAAAAGGGAACACAGTACCCTTATTCAGGGATAGGGGTCCTCCGGCACCCTGACCTCTGACCCTTTCATAACTGCCAGCAGATTGCGCGGCCTGGACACATGGACGCCCACTCACCGAGCCTCATGGTAGGAGTCTGCCTGCCTCCATTCCCTCACTTGTCTTGTGAGGGCCCCTACCTTTCCCGTGGGAACCTACCCTGCCCCTGGGCCTGGTCCTAGACCCTCAACTGGGCCCTCTGGCCCTTGCCAGGCTCAGGCATGCCCACCCTCAAGGGAGTGAGCAGACCCCTGCCCAGACTGGGGCCTGCCAGAGGCCCTTATGGGGGGAGTTTGTAGATCACCAGGATCTGGCTGCCTCCTCCTCCTCCATACTGCCCCTCCCTCAGTTTTTAGAGCCAAAAGGGCCTGGTGACGGTCTCGTCCAGCCCTGTGGTGCCTGTGCCTGAGACACACCTTGAGGTGGAGCCAGAGTGGGGCTGGCACCCAGGGTTCCCTGGGGTGCTGGTGTATGTCTTTTCAGGAGGCTGTGACGTTCGGTGATGTGGCCGTACACTTCTCGAGGGAGGAGTGGCAGTGTCTGGACCCTGGCCAGAGGGCCCTCTACAAGGAGGTAATGCTGGAGAACCACAGCAGTGTGGCTGGACTAGGTGAGGCTGCATCTTGGGACTCCCTCCCCCACATCACTGGTCAGCACCCATTTAGCCAGCCTGAGGGGTAATGTGGGCCATGGGTCTTTCTAGGTCAGGAGCTTACCCTGGGAGGTGTGACAGTGAGTTCTGTGCATTATAAATAACTTTTTCCATCCTGTTTGTTAACTTCGTGGGATCAGATCTTAATGAAATTAAGTCCATTTGTTTTTGCCTTATGGGTTGTACCTTTGAAATTTTATTTAAAAGTTCTTTCCTACTCCAAGGTCATAGAGACAATCTGTATGTTCTCCTGTGGATTTTATAGTTTGTCTTTTTTGTTTAGGTCTGGGGTCCACGTGTGTGTCTGGAGTTATGTAGGACTCCAACCTTTTCCATTGATTTGTAGAGGGCCCTGCCTGTCTCCTGCGTGTGACACTGTTTCTGAGTTGGCCTTGTAGTGTGTCTTAATGCCTGGTGGGACAGCTTCCCCCTTCTGTTCTTTTTAAAACTTCACACCTATTCGTGGGTAGTGGGGTAATTCTTTCATATAAACTTAGAGTAAGTTTGAGTTTTTCAGTTCTTGGAACTGGCATTTTTTGGGGGGGTGATTCACAAGAGCAGAGCTAACCTCTTTCTCATATTAAATATTCCCACCCAAGACCATGGAATGTGTCTCCATTTATCCCATTTACCTTCTGTGTGCTTTGTTAGAGTTCTGGGATTTTCTCCAGAGTGGTCTAGTACCTACTCATGCTTTCTTTTTGGTTGTTTTGTCAATGTATCTCTTCATGTTGCTCTCTCTACATATATTTTTAAAGATTTTATTTATTTATTTGACAGAGAGAGAACACAAGTAGGCAGAGAGGCAGGCAGAGAGAGAGGAGGCGGCAGGCTCCCCGCTGAGCAGAGAGCCCGATGTGGGTCTCAGGGATCATGACCTGAGCCGAAGGCGGAGGCTTTAACCCACTGAACCACCCAGGGGCCCCAATGTTGCTATGTTTTTAACTGGTTATTGTTGCGGTATGAAATGCTGTCGTTTTGGAGGGTTGATCTTGTACTTGGCAACTTTGTTGAACTTGCTGCTAGTCTGGTGCTGGATTCTAGGAGGAGGAGCCTGCGTCTGGGAGGGTGATGTTTTCCCTCTTGGTCCCACAGGATCCCAGCTTTTAGCTGGGGCCAGAGCCCTAGTGCTGTAGACAGGACTGCTGTGGGCAGGCCTGTTGGTTCCTCATTTTAAAGGTAATACTTCTAGGGGCGCCTGGCTGGCTCACTTGGTGGAGAGAACTCTTGATCTCAGGGATGTAAGTTTGAGCCCCACGTTGGGTGTGGAGATCACTTTAAAAAAATTTTAAGAAATGACAAAAAAAATAAAAACCTCTTCTTTAGAAAAAAAATAATAAGAACACATCTAATTAAAATCAGAAGAGGGTGCCTGGGTGGCTCAGTGGGTTAAGCCCCTGTCTTCAGCTCAGGTCGTGATTTCAGGGTCTTGGGATCGAGCCCCGCATCGGGCTCTCTGCTCAGCGGGGAGCCTGCTTCCTCCTCTCTCTCTGCCTGCCTCTCTGCCTGCTTGTGATCTCTCTCTGTGTGTCAAATAAATAAATAAAATCTTTAAAAAAATAAAATCAGAAGAAAGTAGCTGAGGAATTTTCTTTTTAATCATAAACAAGTACATTGGGCGGGGGGCCTGGCAGAGCCAGTTGGTGGCGCATGCAACTTCCTGATCTTGGGGTTGTGAGTTCAAGCCACATGTTGGGTGTAGAAATTACTTAAAAAATAAAGCTTAAAGAAAAAGCAAGTACATTGAATTTCAAATTCTTTTTTGCATCAGTTGAGAATTTGTATATTCTTTTTAAGTTTATTAGTCTAGTAAATTATATAGACATTTTGTTTTATTTCTGGAATAAACCCTACTTAAATTATACTTTACATATAAACTTTGATACCATTTTGGACTCAGGTGGTATTGTATTTCAGATTTTTCATCCGTGTTCATAGTGAATTGGACCTAATTTGTTTATTTTTGTGAATTGTTCTTACGTATTTTTGGCAAATGGCAGTTGGCATATCAGTTTCATAAGATGAACAGGGCATCTTTTTAATTTCTGGAAGAATTTATGTATGTGGAATTGCAGTTATTGGTAGAACTCTCGTGTAAAACCCTCTGGGCCTTGGGCAAGGAAGGTTTTGTGCTAGCGTTTGTTTTTTTAGTGACTAAGAGTCTGTTAAGTTTATGAATTTCCTTTTGTGCTAATTTTCTCATTTATGTGTCACATTACAAGTTGATTTGTTCGTTTAGATGTTGAATTGCTTCACCATCTGTTTGCTCTTTATTTTTAGTTTCCATTACATGTGTAGTTATTTCCCTGGTGTATTTTTTTAACCGTGTTGACCTTGATTGGTTTTGCCATGAAACTGTCATTTTCGTCTTTCCAAAGAACCAGTGTCTGGTTTTGCTGATCTTCCTTTGCAGTGGGGGATGTGGGTGCTTTTGTTCTCTAATCATTGAATCCTGCCCCACGGATATTTTCTTCCTCCTTATATGGGTTTGCTGTGTTGATTTGCCCCCAACTTCCTGAATTTGATATTTACTTCATTTGTGTTTTACCATTTTCATTTCTAGTAAATGTATTTAAAAATGAAAAAGTTTATGTGTAAGTAGTACTTAAACTTCATCCTGCAAGTTTGATAGTAAATACAGCTGCCATGTCGTAATTTGTTACTCAGTTTTCAGGTAGCTAATAGTTTCGAGGTACCTGCACCTACCTTCATATCCAGTTGCATTTTGGTTGGGGCACAGTGTGGTAGTGTCCTTGAATGGGGCCATGACCCCCTTCATAGCTGAAGCACCCCAAGGGTGTTTCTCTGTGGACATCCCACGTGTACTTGGGGAGAACAGTGTTTCCCGCTGAGCATGGGTTCCCGTGTACACATGAGGCCTTCACCCATGGGCTCCCTGCCTGCCCTCCTCCATCCCCACAGCCGGTTACCTGAGGGAAGCCCTGACCACAGGGTTTACTCAGCCCTTGAATGGGCTGGGAGGACACCACAGCACTGTCCCCCCCAGTGTGGGGGCTGCTGGCCCTGGAAGGTGGGTGCCACTGCAGTCTGCTGAGGCCCCCGCAGATTGGCACGAGGACATGAAGCAGGGGCAGCCTGGTGAGGGTCAGACTTCAGCACCTTCTGAATTAAAATCTGTTCATCTGTTGGTTTATTGTTTTTTTTTCTTGTTTCTTGGCCACTCGTACCCCCGGAATGTTTCAGCTCAGAACTGGGGGATAGTCCATCTCTGCTGAGGGAAGTGCTGGCAGTGTCTGACTGCTTTCTCCCTAGGCTAGAGCTGGCCTGCTCTTTGCAGACTCTCTGGTGTCAGATCCCCTGAGGATCCTGGCCCTGCTGTGGATGGGGATGGGCTGAGAATCCAGGCGTCTCACTGTCAAACCTCAGGAGCTGGACCGATCTGGCCAGAGAGGGCCACTGTGTTCAGAACCTTACCCCGATGCTCCCTTCGGAGGCTCTCCCTGTGCTGCAGTAGCCCCCTGCCTCTTTACTCCTGGAAACCAAGGGTGTTGGGCCCTGTGCTGTACCCTCAGCCATACTGACACAGTCCCCTTCTCTTGTCATCCCCACAGCAGGATTCCTGGTCTTCAAGCCTGAGCTGATCTCCCGGCTGGAGCAGGGGCAGGAGCCATGGGTCCTTGACCTGAAGGGAGTCGAGGGGAGAGAGGGGGCAAGAACCTTCCTTACAGGTGAGGCTCAGGCTTAAGAAGCTTCTGGGGGTGGGTGAGGAGGTGTTCAGAGAACCCATGCCCAGCAAGGGCTGAGAGGGTGGGAAGCTGGAGATGGACCCCAGGGACTGGCCACGCAGGCATGCTGGGATGCCTGTGAACACCATGGGGCCACAAGTGGGCCCACTGACAGAAGCATCACCCAGTCATGGAGTTGCATTGGGAGAGACTGAACTACAGAAAAGCAGGGACGTGAGATTCTTGCGTGTTACAGCAAAAACAGTTGGTTGCTCAGTTTCTAATTTTACTAATGTTCTTATTAAGCAAAGGTATGGATCCATGGGAACCACCAAGTTTGATTCTTAGCAGCTTTTCAGGCGAATATCAGTTCCCTCCCTCTCACCAACAGCTCCCTCCAGAACTTCTTGGGGCCTCTCAGATCAGGCTTCAGGGCAGTGGTAGTGCCCTGGGGCTCCTGGAACAAAGCGCCACAGACTGAGGCCTGAAACCACAGAGATTTCATCGTCTCACGGTTCTGGAAGCCAGACATCCAAAATCCAGGCATCAGCAGCTTCCTGTCCCCTGTGAAACCTAGAGGGGATGACCCTTCCTAGCTCCTCCAGCTTCTGGTGGCCCCAGGTGTTCTTTGGCTTGTGTCCGTGTCACTCCAGGGTCTGCCTCCATCATCACCTGGCCTCCCCATGTCTTCTTGAAAGGTACCGTCGTACCGGGTTAGGCCTGTACTTTCTTCAGTGCAACCTCATCTTAACTAACACTGTCTCAACAGTCCTGTTTACAAATCAGCTTATATTCTGAGGTCCTGGTTTCGGCGGGGGCACAGTCAGCCCATAACAGGGGCACCTGTCACCTCACAGTGTTGGCTCCCACTGGGCTTCGCTGAGGAGATGACAGTGCCCCCAGCCTTATCTGGTCCTCCCTGGCAGACATGTTGCCTTCGGTTCGGGCACTGTGACAGTGTGTATCTTCACCACAGAAAGGAGTCCTTGCTCACTGCCGTGTCCCACGGTCACTGCCACAGTGGAGCAGGGCCTGGCGCCACGTGCTCTAATCCCTGGCTGGCTGGAAGCAGGTTGGAGCATCAGACTGTGCGCTTCCTGCCTGGGAGGGCCTGGAGTTGTCCTTACAGCAGGTTACCAAGTCTCTGTAAAGCATCGTCACACGCTTCGTTGTGTGGAAGGCAGCAGCGGTTGGGCAGCTGTGTTGGGAACCCTGATCCCAGCCCCCAGCATCCTTGGCTCTATAACTGAAGGCCGGGCTTTCTGCTTGAGGCCCCTTTCCTCTCCTTCCCGGGAAGTGGGTAGAGCTGTAGACTAGCCCAGTTAAAACCCAGCCACCATTAAGTATCTCCAAGGTGGAGGGGAGATTTCAAAGGGGTACCATGGCAGATAAGCCAGCTGGAGCTGGCAGAATGGGGTAGTTCGGGAGTTTATGTGCAGCAAATGGTTTTTAATGGTGACGAGGCAGCAGCAAAGAAAACACCCCCCAAGGAGATAGAGACCTGCTCTTGGGCCTAAGAGCACAGGGCAGGAGCGCAGCCTCGCCGATGGAAGTGTGTGGAGTGCGCTAGACGATGTACGTGCCCAGGGGTGTTACTTGTGCCTGCCTCGTCCAGCAGACAACCGAGGAGTGGCCCAGAGTGGTAGCAGGGTGCAGAGCTGCACACCTGTCCCCAGCCTGCAGGGACACACACACACCTGTTCTCTGAGGGAAAACCACTTCTGAAGAGAGGGAGCATATGCAAGGAAGTCCCTGAGGCTGGTGCTGGGGCGTGCTGTGTGGGGAGGCTTCTCAGACTCGGTTCTAGGGAACCAGATGGAGACCGACACCCACGAGGTCCGTGGCTTTGAGGCTGCTTAGCCACATGGGGTTATCCTTTTTCCTCTTGTGAGCAGGAGGTCCCAGTCCCACCGCTAGAGACATCACCATGTTCTTCCCTGGTGTCCGTAGAGGCCTCTGCTTTCCAGCAGGAGGCAGTGGAAAGTGATACTTGTCTATCTGCTCATCTCCCGGTCAGGGAGGCCTGGGCAGAGGGTGGAATGGGCCAGCACCCCACGGCCAGTCCTGCCTTGTGGAAGGGTGTGTGGTTGTGCATCGAGGACCAGGCAGGGGATGCCCCGTTTCATAAGGACACAGAGAGGTCAAAAGGGCAGGTGTTGGGGGAAGAGGCCTGGGTCCATTCCCGATGGTCTCATGAGCTGTGTGACTGAGGAGCCCCAGAGTCCTTACTGTGGGATGGTGATTCCACTGCTGACCTCACTGGATCGTCATGAAGACTCATCAAGAAACGGCGGAACTAAGTGTTCCTTAGCCACCGAAGATGGTCTGTGTGGGATGGCCTTTGGCTCACCTGGGCCCGCCCACAAACTGCGGATCCCTGGAGCTGGAGAGGGTGCTGATGTTAGGAACCACCAAGAGCCCTAGAACTGGGCCCTGGAGGATTTTGCTGTGGGGTGGTGATGAGCTGCTCTTAACTGGTTGTCACACTGGTTACGAAGTTTGTTGTGATGCGAGTTATGACCCTGGGCGTGATCATGGACACTACGGAGGTGTCTGACATGGCCAAGGTGCTCTCTAGGACTACAGAGTAGGATACAGCCTGACACGTACTTGGAGAGTCCAAAAGGAAAGTGGATGGATGTTGGGAAGCCTCATGGGTAGCTGGAGCCTCCAGAACCCCAAGGGAACAAGAAAGCAGTAGGACCCCTGGGTGTGGCCTCCTGTAAGCCAAGGGCCACAAGCAGTGGTTGTGCATGGTCAGGGCTGCATCAGGGTGGCTTGGCAGCGGCTGGAGAAAGCAGAAGTCAGGCCTGGGGTCCCACTCAGAGCCCCAGCCAGCTCCTCAGGCTCACCCCTGCTCTGCCCCTCAGCAGCTGTCCGGCCTTATTTTCCTCCAAGCCTGCCTGTCCCCCAACTCAAAGTCTTCAAACCCTCTTGCCCTCACTCCGCCTCCTCTGGGTCCGGGAGCCTCTGGCCACACTTGCCGGGCCATCGGGCTCACTGTGTCTTTATGGATTTTCGCTCATCCCAGTTCCCCACAGGATGGCCCTCTCCTCACATCCTCACACGCAGGAGTGCACAGTTGTTGAATGAATGCATAAAGTAAAAGTATTAATGAAACCAAATTTTGAAAACCATCAAAGGCATGACTTCTGGTAGTGTTTCTCCATGTGGGTGTGTCCTTGCTTGATGCGGCCCATCCTGGCAGGGAGTGCGCGCGGTTCCCAGGGATGGTGTGCAGCCCCTGTCCCCACCCCTGGTGTTTGTCCCGTCTCGAAGCACAGGGGGTAAGGGGCATTCTTTCCTGTTTCTTTCAGATTCTGCGGTTGGGATTGTGACTGAGCAGGCCTGTGAGCACGTGGATGTTCTAAAATCAGAACCCTGTGTGGCGCTGGTCAGAAGCCCCTCACAGGATTTTCCTCAGACTTCTAGCTTTAGAGACACCTGTGATTCTGAGGTCTGGTCAGAGACTAAGCCAGGCTCCCTCCTCCAGAAAAAGCGCTTGAACTCAGGGACCGTGGCTACCAGGAAGACCTTCGCCAAGGAGGGTGCCCAGGGTTGTGGCAAGCTGGAGAGCAGTGGTGGCCTGGGTGGTCAGCCTGGCAGAAGTCCAGGAGGTGCTGCTGAGGGGACATCCCGAAGATGTGACACGTGTGGCACAAGTTTTAGATCTACTTCAGACATTGTTCTGTATCAAGGAATGAATACACAGAAAAAAACTAGTAGATGTCCAGAGTGCAAAAAAAATTTACCCGATTGTTTACAGGGGAGAAATGGAAGTAACTGCCACAGAGAGAAGCCCTATGAGTGCGAGGAGTGCGGGAAAGTCTTCAGGTTGTGCTCACAGCTTAATCAGCATCAGAGAATCCACACTGGAGAAAAGCCATTCAAATGCATCGAGTGTGGAAAAGCCTTTCGTCTGAGCTCAAAACTTATTCAGCATCAAAGAATTCATACTGGAGAGAAGCCCTACAGGTGTGAGGAGTGTGGAAAGGCCTTCGGTCAGAGCTCCAGCCTCATCCACCACCAGAGGGTCCACACAGGGGAGAGGCCCTATGGCTGTCGGGAGTGTGGGAAGGCCTTCAGCCAGCAGTCCCAGCTGGTCAGACACCAGAGGACCCACACCGGGGAGAGGCCCTACCAGTGCCAGGAATGTGGGAAGGCCTTCAGCCAGAGCTCAACGCTGGCCCAGCACCAGCGGATGCACGCTGGGGACAAACCCCAACTTCCACGGAGCCCAGATGGTCTCGGCCTCATTGCGCATCAGAGAACCCACCCTGCGGAGAAGCCGTTTAAGTGTGACGAGTGTGGGAAGGCCTTCAGGTGGGTGTCTCGCCTTAGTCAACATCAGCTGACCCACACCGGAGAGAAACCTTACAAATGCAACAAGTGTGCAAAAGCCTTTGGTTGTAGCTCACGACTTATTCGCCATCAGAGAACTCACACTGGAGAAAAACCATTTAAGTGCGAGGAGTGTGGGAAAGGCTTTGTCCAGGGCTCACACCTAATTCAGCACCAGAGAATTCACACTGGAGAGAAGCCCTATGAGTGTAGTGACTGTGGAAAAGCCTTCAGCCAGAGCTCAAGCCTCATTTACCATCAGAGAATCCATAAGGGAGAGAAGCCCTACGAGTGCCTCGAATGTGGAAAAGCTTTCAGTATGAGCACACAGCTCACAATACATCAGAGGGTCCATACTGGGGAGAGACCCTACAAGTGTACTGAATGCGGGAAAGCTTTCAGTCAAAACTCAACCCTTTTCCAGCACCAGATAATCCACGCAGGAGTGAAGCCCTACGGATGCAGTGAGTGTGGGAAAGCCTTCAGCCGGAGCTCCTATCTTATCGAGCACCAGAGGATCCACACCCGGGCCCAGTGGTATCATGAGTATGGGAATACCTTGGAAGCTTCTACCCACGTGAGCCGTATAAAAGTCAATACTGTAAAGAAACTGCATAAATGTAATGAATGTGAGAAAATATTCAGGTGGCGCTCACATCTCATTATACATCAGAGAATTCACACCGGAGAGAAACCTTACAAATGTAACGATTGTGGCAAAGCTTTTAATCGGAGCTCAAGGCTTACTCAGCATCAGAAAATTCACATGGGGTAGACCTCTTACCTTTATAAATGTGTATAAGTGTGAATAAACCTACAGCCTTAACTTTACATATTTTATATGGGATCATTTATACTAAGAATTTAGAATGTGGGGAGAGAGTCCAAATTCCTCTCTTAGGAAAGAAAATGTCCAAATTCCTATAAAGTGGATGTTCCTTTGCTGGAATGTGTGACCTTAGCCCGCTCAGCAAAGCCTGTGTCCCTCGAGTCAGGGTGCACAGGTGTAGGGTTTTGAATTCACAGAGGGAAGACCCTCGGTCCTGTGGATGAGGAAGATCATGGGAAAAGGCCTGTGAGCATCGCCACACAGCTTAGAAGTTACCCAAAGTGTCTCCCCTGAGCACTGGCCCCTCAGACTGCCTTCAGCAATCAGGATGTGTTCGTTTGTGCTCATGGAATCCCAGAGCGAGGGGCCTAGAACTCCCTTCTCTTGCCTTCTGCACCTGACTCCTTCCGAGTCAGCCCCACCAGAGCAAGTTGGGGATACGCCAGAGGGCCCCGGGGACCAGGCTCTGCAGAGAGGAGCTCGGATCAGCACGGGACTCCAGGAACCAAGCCCAGGTTGTGACTGTGGGACCTATTCTGTGACTCTGGGATGTCACCGTCCTTGAAATCCAGGGTCTCTCTGCTTGCCAGCATCATTTCAGGGTGATGGGAAGAACTGAACTGTGAGAGCCCCCCCACCCCCCAACCCAACTCTGACCCCCGAGCCAGCGTGTCCAGCCAAACCCAGTGCAGACCTGGCCTCAGCAGGAAGAGCGCATGGGAGCCCAGTGGATGCCCTCCAGAGGCCAGGATGTGACCCTTCCTGCTGCTTCCCAGACTTCCTCAGACTTGATCCTGCTGTACAAACTGCCAGAACTGGGAGGGTCTGCAAGCAGACCGGTGGGGCTGTTGCCTTTTCCCAGAGGCTGGTGGAGATGGAGACGGACTGCTCCCAGCAGCATGAGACTGAGGACAGTATGGATTGTGGCCCTGCCCTAGGGTCCTGGAGTCACCAACTGTGACAGCGTTTGAGGGGACCAGAGGTTTTACTCAGACTGGCTACTACCTGCTGCCACTCACGCAGTACCGTCGGTCATTGGTGTCACTGCCAGTTACCACTTAGACAAAACGTGGGCCAAAGAGCCCTCCTCCCTGTCCTGGTGGAGAGGCCCATGTCTCCCACATACAGTTTGGGATGATCAGGTCCATGTGGGTTTCTCTTCTAGCACATGGACCGGGATCTCAGCCCAATCACCAGCCACCGCTGGTAACCAAAGGGACATAGGCCAGTCACTCCGTGATTTATGGCAATACTTGATTTGGGTCACTGTCACACCAGTCTGGCTAAGCCTCTGGGTAGGTCCCGGAGATGCAGCCTTGATGGCCGAGTGTTGTGCAGCTCAATAGCAGGTTATAGATTTGTATCGGGAAAAGGGCTGGTTCCTATGCTCGCAGTGGGAGGTTCCAGAACTTCTGGCAGTTTGGGATGGTCAGGTCTGTGTGGGTTTCTGTTCTAGCACACGGACCAGGATCTCAGCCCAATCACCAGCCACCGCTGGTTAGCCAAGCACAAAGTCCGGTGTGCCGTCCGGCTGCAGTACTAGTTCTCGGGGTGAAGATTGTGCCCCAGACTGTACCTGCACCTTTGGAGGTGTCCCCTCTCCAGGTGCCAGGGCACGATGAAACCACTGTGCCCATTTCAGTAGCTGTAACCGCCTCTGCAGCTGTCCCTGCTCCACCCAGAACTTGAGTCCAGAAAGGTGAGTGCGAGAGGACCAGGGACTGTGGCCCCACATGGCTTAGGAAGGCAGGTTGGCCACTGACTGTGCCGTCCCCCGACAGGAATCCTCTCTCAGCCACTTCCTGGGTAGTGATAGGACAGAGAGGTGGGAGGTTACATGAAGGCTTCCAAATTCCAACCTGGGCACGATGCTGTCCTCTACCAGCAGCTCCAGGCCAGCCAAAAAGGGCCAGAGGCTTCCACGTAAATCACCCAGGCCCCTGGATTTTCTCTTTGGATTGACCTGGTCCTAGATCAGGGCCTGGAACATGGAGGCTATTAGACTGGGTCGCTCTCATTCTTTGGGAGCTCCACAGGCTGACCAAAATGTAGGCCAGAGTCGATTCCTCTAAGTGCACTCATCTGGGAGGATGAAGTTTAAGAACCACCCGTCACAGCCATGAGCAGTCTCCTTTGTGAGACTCTCCCCGTCTCCTGCTGGCACGGCACTCGCTGCTAGGTGGGCACTACCTGGTTCCAGCCCACGTTTGTGCAAATAAACTCTTTAACACTTTGATGTACCTCACTTTAGCTCTTTAAAGGCTTAAAAACGAAGAAGGGTTTTTACATTTTTAAGTGGGGGAAAAAAGGCTATTTTGTGACATTTCAAAGTTCTGTTGAAATGAGATTTCAGTGTGACCAAATAAAGTTTATTGGAACAGAGCTGGCCACTCTTGTGCGAAGCGAGCAAAGTTCTCACTTGCTGGCCTTGTCCCCTTGGGTAGGAACTCCATGCCCTCCAGCCTTAGAGGAGTCATTTTTGTCTCTCAATTCTGAGTGTGATTTGTTCACTGAAATGTCCCAATACAACCGAGAATTCAGTAGAAATAACCCCCGGAGGCTCCGACTCCAGTCCGGAGCCTCCATCACAGAGGTCAGGGTGAGGAGCCCTTTCTTAGCCTCACCAGGCGAACGAGAAGCGTGACGCTGGCCTGCTCGGCAGCTCTGAACTCCGGCTGTGTCTGTGCACATCCCGTGCGCCAGCGGCTCTGCAGAGGGAGGGCAGGAGGACCGCCTGTCGGGAGTGCGAGCTTCGGGATCGTGCGTCCTACTTTCAAGGTGTATTTCCCAGTTTGGGCTTCAGTGACTATAACGAGTATTTTTAAGACTATCCAGAACTCTGTTTCAGAGCAGTTGTTACCTTGGATTTCTCTGTTGGAGACCATAAACCCATAATTTTGACCTGAAACTGCTTTTTACTCAGTTACCAGATTAAGCTTTGATGTGGGACATTGGATTGGAACCACGGAGCTTCCTGGAAGCTTCACAAAGGGGTGGGGGGTGCAGAGCCCAGGTGAGTTCACGCAGTGTGGGGGGCTCGCACTCAGAGCCCAGGAAATGTTTGTCTCAACGTCCTGACCTCGAGCATGGGGATGCTCCCCAGGGCAGTATTCACTTGCTCAGCACTCGGGGAAGAGCGGAGGCCCGCTGGCATCAGGAATTTCCACGGAGGGGAGGGGCATCTGGCGAGCTCCTGACAGTGGAGCGTGTGACTTGATCTCGTTGTCACTTTGAGCCCCACATTGAGTGTAGAGATTTTTTTTTTTTTTTTAAGTTTCCACAGAGATCTGAAAAAGATCCAGAAAATGGACAAGGTGGAAAAGGGTAATCTTGCAAGTGTGAACGTCCATTCTCTGTACAAGGCCTTGTGCGGGCCTGGGAACAAAGATGGCCCTCGGGTCCGGTCAGTGGTAGGGCTGACCACTGAGGAGGGTGCGCAGCTGCTCGGGGCACACGGGGTCCACACACCCCAGCCTGGCAAGAGCTGGACTGAGGCAAGCGGAGCAGAGCCAGCACCCACCACCTGGTTTTTGTAGGCCCCAGAGGGGAAGATGGTCTTTAAATGGCTGAAAACAAGATGATTTTGTGACACGTGAAATTAAGGTTTCGACACCAGTACAAAATTTTTATCGAACACGATTGTGCCCATTGATGTAGGTCGCGTCTGCCTGCTTTCAAGCAGAAGAGGCCAAGCGGGCGGAATCCTCGAGACCTGGGAAGCTGCCACAGTCGCTTCCGGCCATCTCCTGCCATGGCAGCAGGGGAGTGGAGGGCAGGGCTGCCCTGCAGCTGCCGTGGGAGGGACGGCGAGCTCACGGCCACCACGTCCAGTCTATCGACGGAGGACAGTACTCCGCCGCCAGCACTCCTGACTGAAAGCGGCACAGAGCAAGCCTGGTGGGGGCTGGAAGGCGGCAGAGCAGTAAACCCCTCCTTCCGTGTGTCTGGAACGCGGCGGGAGCAGAGGGCCGTCCCAGACCCTCCGGGGCCTGCGGAGTGGACACACCCAACAGTGTGGAGGCAGACTGCTGGCCACCCCAGCCAGGTGCACAGGGACGAGGGGGAGCATGCCTCAGTGCCCTTTGGGCAGGGGAAGGGAGTGCTGACTCGGGGGCTTGTCCACTGGGCAACTCCTGGAACCCCAAGCCTCATCAGCCCGTTTCGGCGTGGAAACGTGCCTTCTCCCCGGAAGCGCTGCCAGGGGGCTTTAGGTGGGCTCCAGGTGAGAGCTCGGTCCTCTGAGGGCCTCTCGGAAAGGGGCTGTGTGTGTTCTCCCCGATGCCAGCAATGGGGTGGCCTGGAAAGCGCCTCTCCTCTCTACTCATATAATTTAAAACCACTGAGGCCCAGCTACGTGGCCCTTTGGTGGCAGCAGAGCTCGGGGCACCCTGAGCCTCGGGGCGTGTAAGCCTGGCTCAGACCCCAAGTCCCCATCCCTGCTTGCACCAGCCAAGTTCCAGCCACCCCGCACAGCAGAAGCCCTCAGTGGCTCTCAACCCGAACCGTGTGTCCACATGAGCAAGCCCCCCAGGTGAGGCTCGCTGCCCCTCCAGCCGGCCGGCACGGTCACTCTCCCAGCCAGCAGTCAAAGCACAGGACACGGCCAGCGGGAAGCCCCGTCCAAGTGGGGAGGGAAGGCTGACCACGCCAGCTCCATCAGCTGCTGGACGCTGGACAGGCCTCTGACCTCCGCTCCGTCGCCTGTGCAGTGGGGGAAATGTCCACCTGCAGCGAGTGACCACAGGTGCAGTGCTTGGACGGGAGCTCAGCACCCGTCTGTTCCACCCGGAAACGCCGTGTGCTCGCAGCTGCCTCGCCAGAGACTGGCCTGTGGAGACACGTGTACAGACGGTGTACTTCGGGTCAGCTTGACAATATCAAGAGCTTTAAAATGTTCACATTCTGCGTCCTCTGTTCCCACTTCTAAACAGTTTCAGTACATGAAATGGTTTTACCACTAACGTCACTGTGATTTTTAATAGAAAAAAAAACACAGAAAGCT